TTTTTCCTTGCGATGTTGCACCTGGTGCACTACCCCCGCCAGCAGTTCCCGAAGTTGTGGTATGCAGTGCAAATGCAAAAGCATCGTACTCGTATGAATGCATTACAAATTTCCTCAGCATGAGAAAGGAAATTTGCTATGCGGATTTGACTTAACAAGAAAATTTGTAATGCATGATTGCAATACGAGTACGATACTTTTGCACAGGATATGTGGAGGACATCGAGTGTGCGTTCTGCTGCTCCAACAGCACGTGGAAATGTATCCGCAAAAAAAGACCCGTCGCCATCCAATTTGTCATGCAAAACACGCATCGAAAGCCACGTTTGTCATGCAAAAAATGGATAGGGATCATGATGGGTGTTTTTTCCTGGATAGAATGGAAAATGGACTCCGGCCAAAGGTTGAGCGCGTAGCAGTGCCGTGCCATTATGCATTGCAGAAGCATCGCACTAGTTCTAGTAAAAATTGCATTACAAATTTTTCGAGAATGAAAAGTGCAATTTGTAATGCGGCTTCGGGTAAACTAGGCGCTTTGTCATGCAGTGTTGCAATTACTACTAGTACGATACTTTTGCAGTTGATAGCCATGGTGAAGTGACAATGATCCGCTGTGCGTGACCAGGAGGACATCAATTTCATGGCACTTGCAGAAGCTGGAACATAATTTCTGCTCCCATAGGCGGGGGCCCCGCTCTTATTGTTCTTCCTCGTGCTGTAGTTATCCCCAGCTTTATTTTTGTCCATGATCACCTGGTGGTGCAAAAAGTCCTCATTGTTCAACAAGGTGTCCAACTGATATCCGCTGGCTCCACTTGATGTCGTTGTACAGTGTCGCAGCACGAGCGAGTAGCAGCGCAGCGCCAGCTTTTTACAGGTCGCCCGCTGGAACGTGTGTCCGGCGAGGACTAGAAAAAACGCCTGCTTTCGTTTATGACTTGCTCAAACGTTCTTACAATCTCAAACGTTACAATAGAATTTGGATATCTGTGATGCATGATGAGCATGACAGACTCGCACAGCGTTTACACCTTTTGCAATACAAACTTCGCCAGATTGTCGTGGGGTTTAGGGCTCCGGATGAACTTGTCATGCGCAATCCCATGAGACTTGGCTAGATCATGCACTCCTGCATCACAGATTTCCGTATTCTATTGGAGCGTTTGAGATTGTAACACCTGAGCGGGTTATAGCGTTTCCACCCCGCTTTTCCGAACAGGCTGGCGGCCTGCATGGCGTTCCCAAATGTTACATTTGCAACTGTTACATGATTTGTCATGCAAAATGACCATGACCCCGACCCGCCAGACTATCAAGCTGCTTCGCATGACAAATTCCCGGAGGGCTAAATAGCACTGTAATCCGCACCAAACCTGTAATGCAAGACGCGCAAGGGTCCCCCTCTCACCTGTCCTAGTCTTGCGTTACAAATTCATGTAACAGTTGAGAATGTAACGTTTGAGAACGCCATAGCCTGCTCCAGCAGCAGCCCAGTCTTCAAGCCCTCTTCGGCGGGCAAGAGGTCGGACGAGCACTTCACGACGAGCTTTGCGGTTTCAAGCAGGAGTTTCCCGGTCTGCGGAGACAGCAGCACACCACCTCCAGCGCTGGTAGATGAGGCTCCACCACCCACCTTCGTCGATAATTCAGCTACCTCGAGCACGTACTGCGATTCACAGACCTTCATCAGGTAAAACAGGACCCGGATCGCCAAATTTACCTTGCCCGCTTTTGAGTAAAAGTCTAAGGCGTTGCGCAAGGACTTTTCCCAGTTCTCCACGTCGTTTGACAGCAGCTGGCAAAGCCCCTGCATCTCGTAGCAGCCCGCAACGTGCTTCCAATTGCGATCTTGCTTGAAATCCGCCAGGAGGAGCTTGTAGTAATTGTTCGCGGTTTCGTAGTCGCGCAGGTGGAAGCACAGGTCCCCGGCCAGCCGCATCTGGCCCTCGGTCGTGTTTAAATTGTAGGTGGCAATCGCCGTCTTCCCATAAGAACTTTGTGAAGCTGCGTTGCTACTATTCGTTGCTCCTCCTGAAGATGTTGTCCCAGCATTGCTCACACTGCCGGTCGTGATGTATCCCCCACCACTTCCCGTTGTATTCATTTCGGCGGCAGATCCTCGAACGGCATTCAATACGTCGTCATCGCCTCCAAATGATCCCGTGGTCCCCGCTCCGAGTCTACCACTGCCACCATAGTTAGCAGAATTTCTGTAGTCCCCCGCCACCGAGCTCTGTTCCTTGGGTTTACGGAATAGGGATTTCATCGTGTTTTGAAACCCTCTCTATGAACTGCAAAAATGTCTGGGTCTGGAAGAGTCGGGGCTTGTCATGCACATTTTGCATGACCCGTCAGGTCTGTGATGCTGGTGCTATCGTCACAGATTTTTTGAGAGCTTCTTGATGCTAATTACGCATTAGAAATGCCCTCTCTGCGTGCAAAGAACTGACTCCTCTTGCTGCTCATGCAACACAGACATTTTTAGACTCCGCAGACAGCATTACAAGTTCCACTCTTGCAGGCCCAGACATGTTTGCGATCGATACTCTCCGCGTGCTGCCGATTTGGGCGTCCAGCATGGACTATGGATTGCAAAAATGTCTGGGTCTGGAAGATTGCAACTTGTGATGCTGTTTTCGGAGGCCAAAAAGATCTGTATTGCATGACCAGCAACAGGACTCCAGTTTGTGTTACGCGGAGAGGGCATTTCTCATGCGGAATAGGCATTAGGAGGCCCTCTAAAAATCTGTGTTGCTAGATCATGCATTACAGGCATCAGGCGTCATACAAAATATGCATGACAAGTCTGGATTTTTCCAGACCCAGACATTTTTACATTTGATATGGCCAGTTTTCGCTCCACCCACGGAATGGCGAGCTGCTGCACGAAATTCTTTACCACCTGCTGCAGCTCGTTGCAATCCGCTATGGTCAGGCTCGCGAGGAATGATGTGGACGAGGAGCTCTGGTGCGACGTTTGGCTCCCATCAACTACACTGGTCGTGGTCACTGCTCGTCCCCCTGGAGGAGGACCTCCTCCTGGAGTACCTGTAGTTCCCGACGCGGCCGGCGATAATTTCTTCCGAGGTCCTGACGCCTGGTGGATGCCCACCTTTTCGAAAAACTTAGCCACACCAAAGTTTTCATCCACCATTGATGAAGATGATGTAGAACTGGTGGTGGAGGCAGTAGAAGACACTCCCGCACTGTTTAACAGCGAGTTTTTCCGGTTTAGACGGAGTGCATATGGCAGTGCACAACTCCCCCTCCCCCTCATTTGTGATGCAAAACTCCAAATCCAGGTGCTGCCTTGTGGCACTGTTTGCATGACAGATTCCGAAAGCCCACATAGTACTACATTCCTGTGGCTGTGCAAATTTGTCATGCAAAACCAGTACTCTTGCTGACGCTTGTATTGCGGTTCATGGTTTACAAATGAGGGGGACGAGGGGGAGTTGTGCACTCTCATAGGACAGCAACCGACGACGGGTTGAAAACGGATTTCATCTGGTTCTGATATCCTGGGCAAAAGCACTTCTGGTAGAAATCGTTTCATTTCGAATTGCAATCTTGCAAGACAAACCCATGTTGTCTACTTTTTACCTGCCAAAATTTGACGCCCCCCTCTCTGTAGTGCTAGTGTTCCTGCCTGAAAATAAAATTGAAATTTATCAAGCATTGAACTTGCTAAATGTACACAGCCCGAGATGTTGACTTTTGCAACGCATATCAGAACCTGCTCCACGATTTCCATTTTCGGGGACTCTGGGTCGCTCATATGAACTGCAAAAGTATCGCATTCGTATGAATGCATTACAAATTTCTTCAGCATGAGAAATAAAATTTGTAATGCGAATTTACCTCAAGAAAAAGATTTGTAATGCATGATTTTTGCAATTATACGAGCACGATACTTTTGCACAGGATAGCTCATATCGTGCAGCAAAATTTTCAACCGTGGCGGGTTGGCCTCCAACACGCCCTTATGCATTGCAAAAGCATCGTACTAGTATAAATTGCATCACAAATTTTGGCAAGAAGAAAAGTGGAATTTGTAATGCTGTTTTACCTTAGGAAGGAGATTTCTCATGCATGTTTGCAATTAGTACGACTACGATACTTTTGCACAGGATAGCCCTTCCGGCAGAGCAGCGGGTTGGTGTTCAGGTGCAAAATCTGCTGGAACGTATGGAAGCGTCAGGATTGAAATCGTCAAAGTTGAAACAAATACTTTGTGATGCATAAAATGCAACCCGCAAAGCGCCTGTCTTGCAGAGTAGGCAAGGGAGGCATATTGCAAGCCTGTTGAAAGGTAGAAATAGAGCTGCTAAAGTAGCATGACAAAAGGCGTCTTCCTTACACAAACAGCATTACAAACTGGAAGGATTGAGGCACCACCAAAACTTGTCATGCGCCTTTTGAAAACTGGGCTCCAACTGGCATCCATTTTATGCATGACAAACTATTTCAACTCTGACGATTTCAAACCTGACACATCCATAGAACGTCGCAATTACGTCGGGCTCTTTGCTGGACACGCAAAAAAACGTGCCGAACGGCTGGTGGACGCACTCGTGTTCCTGGTACCGGTACTGTTTTTTCAGCACCAGGCTGCGGTAGCTTTCCCACCAGGGCTGGGAAAAAAGGTGAGGTGGAGGTGCCGGCGCGGTTCGTGTTGCCACAACTGTAGAAGGACTACTTCTGGAGCTGGACGAGGAAGAAGATTTCGTAGTTCTTTGTGGTATATCAAATGTAAAAATGTCTGGGTCTGGAAGAATGCATGTTTGTCATGCTTGTCTGGCATGACTCTTAAATCTGTCATGCAAGTTACCCAAGAGCTCCACCTTTCTGTGATGCAGAAACGCGTTTTGTCATGCAGAATAGGCAACACCTAGAAGCTCAGAACCTTGTGATGCTGAGCCAGCATTTCTGGCCTCATCATGAGACGCCACCCAGCATCACAAGTTTCCAGACCCAGACATTTTTACATTTGATATGGTACTACTCCTTGCGACTGCATCTGCTCCAGCGATATCAACTGTAAAAATGTCTGGGTCTGGAAGAGTGTTAAACTTGTCATGCAGGTTTTCCATGACCCATGAGGTCTAGAATGCGGGACCTAGCATGACAGAGTCTGCGAGTTGTCCGCTATGCCTATCCTGCATGAGAAACTCCCTCCCAACTTGGTCGAAAGTGGACAGCTTTTGGCCCTCATGCAACACAGATTTTCGCATTATTCGGATTCAGCATGACAAGCTGCAATCTTCCAGACCCAGACACTTTTGCAATCCATAAGCGACCCCGAGTGCAGGAGCTGCTGGTCGTGGCCGCAGTTGTAGTCGTACAGCGCATATCCTGTGCAAAAGTATCGTACTCGTACTAATGCCAATCTTGCATGACAAACCTGCCTTTTTGCCTGAATTAGCATTACAAATTCCATTCTTCTTTCTGATAAAATTTGTAATGCAATTTATACTAGTTCTTAACTTTTGCAATGCATAGCGCACAACTCTTCTCCATCTCCGAAAGCGTTTCTTCGCGGAAGGGTGTCCGCGTAGCCTCGTCCACGGCTTGGTGCGCGAGGGCGGGAAGTATCGCGAGGAAAAAAAGCTGCCTCAGTCTCAATTTGTAATGCGGAAACCTCTTCATGTCATGCAAGAAATGCATCGCGTGCTACTTAGTCTGACGCATCGCAGGTTTTTTATGTGTCAACATGCTGGCCGAATTTGCGTTGCTGATGAATGATCTGCAAAAGTTTTGAGACTCCTGAGACAGCTTTTTATCCTCGATACAGAGGTCGTTCCGGTTAGCGTCGACGTCCGCATGGTCCAGGAAAGACACCCGGAACTGTGAGTTTTGAAACACGTTTTCCGTGCAAAAGTATCGCACTCGTATACGTATTATGCAGTCATGCACATGCATTACAACTCTTACTCTTTTTCTTAAGGTACATCCGCATTACAAATTCCATTTCTCACGCTGAGGAAATTTGTAATGCATTCATACGAATACGATACTTTTGCAATTCATAACACGCCCCTTTCGGCGATGGAGTAAGAAACTGGGATGTTCGCCACGTAGCCCCCAAAGGGCGAAAAAAGCTCGGCGAGCGTGAGGCCGTTGGTTCTGGAAACGGTTTCCGTCGCAGTTTATGCATCGCAAATATGTCTGGCTCTGGAAGGATGCGAACTTGTGATGCTCATTTCACAAAACAGACAAATCTCTCACGCAGAGGCAGCAAAAGATGCCCATTTCATGTCACCAAAATGAGAGATTTGTCATGCGGATACTTAGGCAATGCGAAAGATTAAGATTCTCGAAATCTGTGATGCTAGCGCTTCCAAGACAGACCTTGTGTCATGCAAAAACACCATGACATACGACGCACTCTTCCAGACCCAGACATATTTGCATTTGATACAGTTTCCGTTCCGACCACCAACACTTCGGGAACCAGAATCTCTGTATGGATCCAATCCGGAAAAGAAGCTGGCGAGCTTAGCATGGAGGCTGATACCCCTGCAGGTGCGGCCGCACTCCCCGCAGAAGAGGTGGGTGTGTGTATGGCGGAGAATTGAAAATTATATGCGTCCTCGACTAGTTCTAGTGCTCGCCAAATGATTTCATGCATTAACTTTAGCTCTATTTCTATCCCGCGTCCACCACTTTCATCATACGTTATGTTCTAGAAACACCAATTAGCTACAAATCTTTGTTTGGAAAGCGGCGTACGACAAGGGTCTAACTCACTTGGGTGCCACGTGCCGACTCTTCCAATATTCATGCGATAGAAACGAACTCCAACGCAGGTTCAGCAGAAATCAAATTTGAATTCCGCTTGAGGTTCAACATCTCAGTCAACATTTATCTTCCCCATGTTGTATGTATTCGAAGAGTTCTTGTAGTGGATGGCAAGTACGTAGAAGTGCACAAAAATGTATGCAAAGCGAAGAAGAGGAGGACACTGTAGGTCTTGCTCGAGCTGATACTGGACGCTGCAGTGGTGCTCGGAGTTGTAATGGGGGCAGCCGCACGACCAACCGGACCTCCGGACGAGGACCTCCCGAAGCCGCTCATTTTCTCTTCCTTTTGCCACTATCTCCACATGCAAGTCCGTGCCTAAAGCCTATCCATGTGATTGTCGTGAACTACAATACATGCATAAGAATTAGATTTACAATTAAATGAGTACGCATTAATTCGCGGGCAAATTAGCAATGGCTAGCCGTAGTGAGAACAGGCCTCCGCGATATTACGTGTTGGTTTCAAATGTACAGAATCTCAATACGCGTTCGATTACGGGAGAACAGCAACAGAAGCACTTTGAAAGCCGGAATGACAGACAAAAAATTGATCCTGGTAAAACCGAATGCCCGAGAACGATCAGCACTTATCGATCTATATCTATACAAGATCAACAACCCTCACAAAAATACAAGATCAAGAAAGCAACACAAAAATAAATGAGCCGCCACACCCACGTTGTGGTGGGTGCTGCGCGTTATCTTAGATATCAAGGAAGAACCGCAAAGAAAACTCCCTCGCTAGTACAGCTGAAGTCTGCATTTGCAACGTGAAATATATTTTCAGGTATCATCTTCCACAACATCCATCGGGACCGGTCAACAAGAAATAAATTTTATTTTGGCGAATACAAGCATTCTCGAACTTTTTAAAGCTACGTGGTGGTGCATCATGAAGCGTTGCGTCTTTCTTTTTGTTGTTTGTTGGGACTAAAGCAGGAACAGAATTTCATTCAAATCACAATAAGCCAACATCAAATGACAGTCGCCCGTGCAGTGGGCTTGCGCAAAAAAAAAATCATTGTGGGCCCAAAGAGGACGAACAAGTAGGCAGTACACGTGGCGCAAAAGAGAACGCAACGCGAACACTCAAATTCAAAATAAGTATTATAAAATAAAGATATATATAGATCTGCTACTGCTACTTGCAAGTATTATATCGTACTTGCACCCTTCTGGGATGTTGCTTTGTAAAATCCCAGAGAACAAAAGCGGAAGTGTCTTCAAAAGTGTAGCGTAGCTGAAACCACTTTTGGTATTGTAGCACTTTTGAAGGCTCTGTGTGAAACATCTCCTCATTGTCAAGTCGGGACGCACTTCAGCAGGGAATTTTACTCGCATGGTCCGACCAGGGCGCCGCGAAACGGGGTGTATCCTCGTCCAAAAAGACTCGTCCGTCCGGAATAGCAATACCTTTTTTTTCTTTCTGACGTTTTCCTTGTTCAGAACGTGACTCAAATGAGTCCGTAAACGCATTCGAGACTGTGCCCAAAACATATATGAGGCATTCAATCTCGGCAATTTTTTCCTGCGTCTTCTTCCCGTTCTCGTCGTACCTTGCGAGAAAAGGAGCGCCTTCCCAGCTCATTAGGTGGAGGTGCTCCGCGACATTCTTCACCTGCTGCGGTAGCGTGCCCGTGGCACGGCGGAACAGTTCGTCGTAAACTGCAAAAATTTCTACAACACCGATCCACAATTTGTGACCAGGACGCAGCGAGGACGAGAAGCGAGAAGTGCCCAACAACGTCATCCCAATGCGAAGCGAGAAGTTTCCCAACATCTTCCCAACTGTGGCCGCCAATGTTTCAGCGTACCACGCGCGAAGCTGTTCAGCTTCACTAGGAAACGAAGTTTTGGGAGAGAGAGCGTTACTTAGGCCGGCGTTTATAGCTCGGTCGTGCACCGCCTTTTCGCCGCCGGCCAAGAACTTTTCGGACTCGCAGGGATTATAATAATCAGCTGAGTACACAAAAACCGACACTATTTTTTCATTGTTGTAGTGCTTCACCGTGAAATCCGTCACGCTGACGTACGTTGAGGCGTGAATCTTCCAGCTCGGCGTGCCCTGGCCGGCGTAAGAGAAGTCGGCGACGAACCAGGTGTAGAGGCCGTCGTTTTCCCAGACGTTCTTCGGGTAGATGTTCGTTCCCGAAAACATCCGAAAGCGAACAATACCAGCACCAGGTCCATCACGTTTAGCGCCATACAGCACTTGCTTAAAATGTTCTTGTGTCGCAGGGTTCTTCGCCAAGATCTGGTTGCTATACGTACGCGGTTTTATACCAGCAATGAGCTTCTTCGCTGCTCCCCGATTCTGTGCGTGTTCCAGCTCTTCGATTCGCGGCAACGCTTGTCCGTTCAGCAGGCTTTTCAACTCTTCATTGTGATACTTCAACTCTTCATAGTGATGCTTCAACTCTTCATTGTGATGCAGTGATTTATCCAGCGCGAAAGGCGATCATGCATCCTCATACGTTACAGAATCACGGGTAGCATGTACAAGTACATCTACATTTGCATAGAGCCAGATTCTCCACCACTTCCGGTTCCACTCGTAAAAAAAAAAAGTCGACACATATTTTGCTCGACGCATCTAGTACTTGCAAAATGCATATGCATTTCATGAAAAGGCGCTAGTACTATGAGCAGGAGCACTAGATGAAACAGCTCTGGCATGATCTATTTTTACGAGTACAAGGATTCTATTCATCTACAGAATCTGTGCCAGGACGATTTTGCCTTTTTCAATACTTACAGTAAACGCAAGTGGATTCTGTACTTTTTGTATAGCGGAAGCAGGCGTTTCGCGATGCTGCATAAGCTCGATGACAATTTTCTTCATAATCCTGAGGAACGACTTTTCCTGGTATTACAACTACTGGCATTTGGTTTTTCGCCTGCAGCCCTTCCTCCAACTTTGTGCCGGCTCCAGACCCGCTACTTTTGTCCGAGTGTTCCAGCTCTTCAATTCGCAACTTTTGATCGACCAACTGTCTAAAGCACTCTTCATTAGCACGCAGTCATTTATCCAGCGCGAAAGGCGATCATGCATCCTCATACGTTACACTTACAGAATCACGGGTAGCATGTACAAGTACATGATCTACATTTGCATAGAGCCAGATTCTCCACCACTTCCGGTTCCACTCGTAAAAAAAAAAGTCGACACATATTTTGCTCGACGCATCTAGTACTTGCAAAATGCATATGCATTTCATGAAATAAAGGCGCTAGTACTATGAGCAGGAGCACTAGATGAAACAGCTCTGGCATGATCTATTTTTACGAAGTACAAGGATTCTATTCATCTGCAGAATCTGTGCCAGGACGATTTTGCCTTTTTCAATACTTACAGTAAACGCAAGTGGATTCTGTACTTTTTGTATAGCGGAAGCAGGCGTTTCGCGATGCTGCATAAGCTCTGTACCAAGCTTCTTCATAGTCTTTCGGAGGACTGACGTTTCCGTTTTTCGCCAGCAGCTCTCCCTCCAACTTTGTCATATACTGCGCAAAAGTTCGAACTGCATCTCTCCGCATTGCAATATAGGCAGCACAGCAAGATCTGCATAGAAGATAGCCACATGCAAGCTGGACACAGAAGTTGATACATCACACGGCTATAACGATAGAAGATCCTCATCCTGCAGGAGATAAAAATGCGAACGCCACGATTACGATATGCCTGCTTTCACATACATGTAAAGTACTAGGTCCTGTTCATTTTGATGTCCGCTTAAACTCAAACTCGAATTGTGCTATAGCTATCACAACGCCGGCTGAGATATATTCGGTGCATGGGAGTAGAGGTAAAACTTTGTGCAATGCGTACGCCACGTGCTGCTCTAGCTCAATTACAAACTCCTCCCGCGCCGCAGAGCGAGCTTTCTCTTCCTCAAGCTGGTGTATCTTAGTCTGCGCCGTTATTCTCGAGAAAAACGTCCCCGTGCGATAGCGGGCATCCACTTGGCACGATGCGAAGGAAAGGGAGTCATTGCACGTTCAACAACGTGACTCGGCTCCGCTGTAGAATCTTCAAGGCCTTCAGCTATTTCTGCGGACACAATGAGACACTACTTCTTGTTGCGCGCACGACGAGCACGTGTCAGATGTCTCTCGTCCACCAAATATCACTAAGGGATGTCCTCTAGTTGTGGTGGTTTCCGACAATAATTCGCCGTCATGCTCAAGCCATGCCCAAGAAGACTTGTTGATCACCTGCCCCTCATACAACGCGGCGTTATGATGCAGCAATATCTCCGAGTCCGAAACACAACTACTTAACCCTGAGGCAATGCGTGCTACTCCCCAGCCACACCCACTAACAAAAATATGTGTACTTGAGTAGCGAAATTTGCTGCATCGAAACCAGAAACAACTTGCCTCACCCACAGGAGACAGAGCGGGGACGTTTTTCCGCGGGATAACATTTTTCAGCGCTTTGTCCAACTCCGTCACTTTCCCCAGGGCCGCCTGTAAAATTAACAAAAAGGAAAAAGGATGATATTTTGATCGCTTGAAAAAATAAAAAACTTCTGTACTCACTGCTCGTGGAAAAGAAGTCAATCTTCCATATGTCATGTCATCTTCATCGATTGGAAACACAGACTGTTCCTCGACATTGTAAAAACGCCTTGCAGAAGGACGAGCTGAAGGTTTATCATAGCGAAGAAGTTGTAATTCTTCATTAATTTATTTCAATCGGAATCGTGTTGTTGCTGTTGCTACTTAATATGCCAGAGCACGTTGATGAAGTCGTAAGCAGAAAAGTGCATCTTTCAGATTCAACATGATCGTACTCGGAGCTCTTTCTGCAGCCGCTCGACGTCCGGTGTAGAAGTGGTGCCGGTGCTGACAACCGAGGGGCTCGCGTGAAGTTGCTGCTGCTGTTGCAGTTGTTCTTGCTGCTGCACAGCAGTAGAGCGCCCCGCCGCGGCGGTCGTTCTGCCAGTCGTCCCCGTAGTAGAGGACGGCGAGGGAGAGGAGCAGGAATCTCCGTTGCAGTACGTGTTTTCGTTTTGATGCTCAACACGAGCTTGATACTATGCTACAGAAAAGTACACTAACAGATACTACTTACACCCATACGCATTGACTCATACTTCCGTGTCTACAACTTTTCTTTCACTGACATGACCACTAGGGTAGGGGTAGAGCTAGGGGCAGAAGTCCCACGTCTCGATAGAAATAAAGGCCGCTTCTGCACTACATTTCGCATCATGGAGAAAAAGTTGAGTTTTTCGGCATCATTTCAGCACTTTGCAAATTTTCTTTTTCTTTTACTGGGCCGCCTAGAGCTGCCACTACATCTACAACTGCAGCCATAGAGGGGCAGCTTGGGAACACATAAAGCTAGCTGTAGTGAGACACTGTCATGTTGTACTTTTCTGTACGATAAAGCTGCGGCCGAGTTTGCGTTCGTGTTTCCGGTGGCTTTTTCCTTTTCCAGAAACCCCGCGTTCTCAGCACCCCGCTTCGTTCCTGATCCTGCTGCGAATTGGTTCCCTCCGCCGTCTATCCACTGCAAATATGTCTGGGTCTGGAAACTTGCATTCATGAGGCGTGCATAGTGAACGCTCTCGCTCTGAGTAATCAATGCACAGCCAAGCATGAGAAATATTTGCGCGGGAGCTTAGCGCTTCGTTTTCCGCATGACAGAGACAGACTGGGACTGCAGCGTTGTTGCATGACAAGCAAAAAGGTCTCTTGTTCTTGGACACGCATCCCAGACTGTTCCGTATCAGTCATGCCAGACAAGCATGGCAAACCTTGCATCCTTCCAGACCCAGACATTTTGGCAATGCATACCGTCTCCAGCGTCGGAGCGAAACTCCATAGGTGCGTCGTCAGAAAGAAGATCGCTGCTTCGGCGGGAAAGCTATCCTGCGTAAAAACACCGCACTCGTAGTACTCGCAGTCATGCATTACAAATCTCCAACCCAAGGCAAAACAGCATGACAAATTCCATTTGTCATGCTGAGCCAATGTGTAATGCGATTACTACTAGTACGATACTTTTGCAATGCATAAAAGCGCCGAGGCCTCCTGCTCCGCCGGCATCGCAGCATCAGGACTGAACGGAGAACTGCCCCCGGGAAGGTCCTCCGGCGTCAGAGAAGAAGATGGTACAGCCCCACCATCTGTGGGTGTGCCACCTGCCAGAGCTTCTTGTGCTCTGGCGTGTTTGTTTTTCGAGCCACGCAGGTTTCCGAACCGGCGCGGTGTAGCAGTCCCTGCGGAAGAAAGGGCCTGTTGCCCACCACTTCGTCCCCCTCCACCTCCCAACCAGCTGGGTAGAAGGTGCTGGTACTGAAGCCAGGAAAAAGCTGTAGCCGGGGCGGAGCTGCTTGGCTGCTCAGCTCCTGCGAGATGAGCTGCGTTGTGGTCATTTTTGTGTTCCGCAGCAAAGGAGCGCTCCTTCGACGCTTCGTCAGCACCGGGATTGGGCGGATCGAGAGTGGTCAACACGGAGTTTTTCGCTTTGTCAACTTCTTGTTCCTGCTCCCCTGGTAGAAGTGTTGCACCAGCAGGAGGAAGAGGACCATCGCCAGGTGGAACACCGCCTGAACTCCTTTTTGTTGAGGTAATCAAAGAAGTAGATGCTTCGGTAGTACTTCCCGTGACCAGTGCGCCGGGCTGGATCGCTTCCGCTATTTGGGTTATTCCCGCAATGCTGAGAAAGAGAAGGAGAAGTCCCACCACGCCGACCACTGCCAGTACCGGCCGGCTGGTGCTACCGATCGTCGTGCTCCGACTTCCGTGGGTGAAAAATGTTGACAGCCACATCATAGCTGCTGTGCCGGGTTGCTTGTTGGCGGGGTCTTGCCGCAACTTGTTCGTGGTGGTCCACAATTTGTTTGTTTCGAAAATGTCGTTCTTGCGTACGATTCTGTTGTACGAGGAGCCGTACTATTTTTTTCTTGTCGACGCGGTTCCCCGTAGTTGTGATGAAGTCTTTCCTCTCGGTGTTCGTATGTAAATATCGTACTTATGTTTGTAGAGGTGGTCCTCGTCTCCAGATGTATGAAAAACAGCGGGAGAGCTGCAGCCGGCGTCGTGTGCAACTCCAGCTCGGCTCTCCCCGTGGTTCCCTCTTTGATTTTCGCCGTTGGCAAAGTATACGAAGTAAAAATAAATCGCTTGCAGTTTTAGTGGAAGGGATACCTCCACAACTTCGGTGATAGAGTGCAGTTCGTTCTGAAATAAGATGAAAAAAAGAAGGAAAACAAATCCACCTCGGCAACGTGCTTTCTTATCGTTGATATAATAATTTACTGAAAGTTTAGGACCTACTGCGTGCCGGGGGGCCTCGTTAGATCTACTTGTATTAGGTTGATTAACAGTCAAAAGCAAAACTAGAAATGCTCAAATGCGAAAGGAAAATTATACTAGGGGTCGCTTAAATCATAAGTTGCGGGGAGCAACAATGACAATGTTGCCGTCTACACAAAATGCAGACAGAAAGAGAGAGTTCTTCTTCTTGTGTTGATGTACGTAATAAATTACTTAAAAACTTGGCGTGACAGGAGCAGAAAGACAGAGAAATATTGCGAATGCAATGTCTCAGCCACAACTTCTACGGGGGATGCAGCAGTTCAAAATGTCACTGTGAGTGCGAGATTGAAAGGAAAAAAAAGTTCATCATCTGACAGCAGAACCTGTAGGGTGATTTATTTGATCGCCACGAACGAAACAACTGCACTCGGTTCTCTACATCTTTGAACGAATCAACAGTGTTTGACAAAGTGTAGTTGCAACGACCGACCAGAACGAAGAGCGTACAGGTCGTACGGGTGAAAGACTGATGTCCAGCATCACGATGTATTATTGCACCGATTTTGTTTCCAGTGCTCCTTGCATGACACGCAAGCCGCACTTTTTCATTTCACTCTTCGCACCACCGAGCCTGCTGGCCAGAAAATTGGACGAAAAGAAAAACGAGAAGCAAGAATTGGCTACCGATATCACGTGATGCACCGCAGGACGAGGTCGGGTTGAGAAGTAGAGCCAAACTTAGTCGTACTGCCAACTTAAATTTTCTTTTTCTATGGACGGAAAACGAAAATACAACTCGCTAATACCGAAAAATATGAGTTGTGGATACACGAACAGCAACGAGCACTACAATACCGACGCAAATGATAGAGAGCACGAAGACGACCGAAAAAATTAAGCGGAACTACGACGAAGACCGATAGGCATTCCTGAGCTATTCTGTCGTCGTGGTCGTCTGCAGCTTACGTGGCGGGCCAGCGCGCTGAACAGCATTTCTTTGTGAAGATTTGTTCACACATCACTACTTGCAGTGAGCGAGAGTGGAGTGAGGTGGTTACTTATTTCATTCATGTTTTAACAGCTCCTGCTCAAAACAGCCAAGGACTCGAGTGGTATTTCAATTTCTTTGCTGGTGGTGCCGGGAGGTAGCAATGACAAAATCATATTCATACATTTAGCACATAAAATTTGACTTTTCATCGCTCCCTTCTACTTGCCACCCTGCACTTGTTTTCGTTCCCTCGCGGCGCCAGCCCCGCTGCCGCCTTGACCTTCCCGCACGGCTTTCACGTCTTGCTCGTCCATTTGCGGCATGTATCAAGTGCAAATATGTCTGGGTCTGGAAACCGAAAGTTGTAATGCCAAATGTGAAGAATGATAGACGCACTGCAATGCGCAGCTATGCATGACAAAGTTCTTGGCTGCCATGTCTTACGTATTCCGCATGGCAAACTGCGTTTCTGCATGACAGGTAAGAGCGCCTTTTCGTGCCTACGCAACACAGATTCTCGAGTCATGCCAGACAGGCATGACAAACTTGCATTCTTTCAGACCCAGACATTTTTGCAATTAATAGCATGAGTTTGGGCATCAGGTAGACAAACCCGAACATGAAAGCCATCATGAGCACCATGGGCGATTTATGCATTGCAAAAGTATCGCACTCGTATAAATTGCATTACAAATTTCCTCAGCATGAGATGAAATGAAATTTGGAATGCGGATTTAGCTTCAGCAAAAAATTTGCAATGCATGATTGCAATTACTACGAGTACGATACTTTTGCACAGGATACGATTTGAAAAGCGACAAGATATTGAAGTCCTCCCGTTCCTCAAAATACATCTTCACGTTGGAGGGCGCGAGCTCGAGGGGGTACCTGAAGCCGGGACGTATCATTAAGAGTTGCCAACTATAATGCGTACAACAGGCACGAGCTTTCATGCTTACTTCGGTGGTGCGCTGTGCAATGTCACCACTCATTTTTAAGTTGCTTTTCGAGTCATCAAACAAAACAGAGCTTTTCGAGTCATCAAACAAAACATTTCAATACTTCAATTTCTTCCCTTTCCCATACAGCGCATCCGACAGGTAGGGTGTGATTTTCGGCATACTATCCGACTCCGCGTCCGATACGTGTCCCACGTCGATCAAAACGGGGTCGAACCACAAAATTGGGTGGACAATGTCAAGACTGTAATTCGGCTCTCCGGTCAACACGTCCGTGATTTCGAATTCACCCTTGGCTGTCGGGTGCACTATCCGCGTGTCCACATTGTTTGAGAGAATCAGCTTGGTGCTGGACAGGGCCTGGTGAGCGGTTTTTTGCTTTTTCATGCAGAAATTTTGACATGATGATAAACGTCATTGCTTGTGATGCTGTGATGCCGCGTCATTGCTTGTCATGCTGTGATGATGTGGACAGAGTTTCACAAGAAGGCGCAGGCTTCGTAGCGCCTTGTGCTTTCACGCTCATTCTCTCTCAAGAAGCAAGATCTCTGTACAACCTCAACCACCTGTAGCTGCAGCAGCAAATAAGTAAAAAATACGTCCTTCGTGAGTCGGAAATGCGGGGGTATTTTGATCACGCCCTGAATACTGGTGGTCGCTGGTTCCGGTGGTAGAGAAGCCGAGGAGGCGAAGCAGTCGAGACCGAGGTAAGAGGTGCTTACTGTCGCTGCGACAACGGCTCTCGTGAAGGCACGCGTTACTCCTGTCGTTAAAGACGTGGAGGTGCGGGGGGACTTATGTTGTCCGGACATTGCCCGGAAATTGTTTGTATTCCTCCTCCGCGGCGGCACACTCCGTCCGGTCCTCTTGCTCGTCCTACTAATTGTTCCGGTCATCTTCGAGGACGAACTATCTTCTGGTGAGAAGCTGCAGCTGGAGCTGCTGCTCTCTGTCGCCAAGACAATGCTGGTGTCGCGCATCGAAAATGCCATTTTCTTTCGAATAGTTTGCTGGTCGTCGATCGGGTCAAATATATACTCTAGAAGTTAAGCAGCATGGATGTGCTTTTTTGTACTGAATTCAAATACTTTTTCTACTTTTACTCGATCTTAGTCACCTACGAAGATTTCTCGTGTGTTTTACCTAAAAATTAAATTTAGAATTATGAAAAGTTTATTTTTGTCGCTAATAACTGGGCTTGTGATCATCCATGTCGCTGCAGGTCGAGAGTAAATTATGGCACATCCTCTTCTGAATCTGAGGCAATGTCTGGTATTTTGAAAAAATAAAAAACATCATCATCAACATCATCTAGTAGTCGGTTTCAGCAGTGCTTGTACGAATTCCAGCGCGCCGCAGATTCATCTTGGCACAAACCACCTAATAAATAATGATCTGCTTCATCATTAAGAAGCTTGCTGTCGTGAGTGTGATCTTCTGGCGTCCTTTGACTACATCTTCGGTTGGGAGCGGAAAAAAAAAGTTGGTATGCGTAAGTGCTGTTCTTGAGCTTCGTCACTTGGAGGTCGACCGCTGTCGATAGAGACGACAGGGATAAGCCACCCCCGATGCATGGAAGCAAAAACTCACCTCCAGAAAAATAGCTACAACAGGTGGAGCCAAAACGAAGATTAGAACAATATCGACTTTGACGCCACTGACCCAAAATGCGCCGGTCGGCGTGAAGACTTCACTTTTCGGCGAATTTCTTTTCCAAAAAAAAAGCGTATTTGGTTCGAGTCTTTTGCTTCACACAGGTTCTACTTCGAGAAGTTGCGGAGAGAAATTTTGTTTTTGTCCATTTTACTACCATAATTAGACCTGTCGTTTGACAGGTCGTGCATTCGACACGCAGTTGTTCAAGTTCGTTAGTTACTACATACATGTACGCGCAAAAAAATCTGGCTCTGGTCGTACCTGGAGCGTAGGCAGAGTTCTTTGTAAAGGCTGTTCGTGGTCCTAGGTAAAATTCACGACGTTAGCGCACCAATGGCGACGCGGTGCTAGTGAAGAACATCGATAAATTCAACCCTAAATGAACAGCCAAATGAGTTCTTTCTGTAAGGATGATGACGAGCTTTTTTTTCGGTCTCTTATAAGCATCTGACACTCCCAACAACTGACACAATGGAGGTTCAACGTATTGATGTATCCTCCTTCCTAGCTTATGTGAGAAGTCGACTGCAACTTCTATTAACAAGCCAGAGTTCAACTTCAACGACTATCTATATAAAAGCTGCTGCACACTAAACCTAAAGAGAGATCGGCTGAAAAAGTTCAAATCGCTGGAAAGCTCAGAAAGTACGACTTGCGATTGTCAAGCGGACAACGAGGGCAGCGACGAGAGACAGTGTAGGATAGTAAATTGCAAGTAGAAGTACTTTACAACGATGGATTACCGATCACAGGTTCAGAAGTGAAAAACAAAAATCTTCATCTACTTCACCCCGATTTCCTCTTTTTCGCGGCCGGTCCGCCACTGAAAAACTCCGTGACTTTCATTTGTCGCTTGTTTCCCGCCCCGGTACCCGAGGAACCACCTCCAGCACCCTTCTATCAAAATGGAAAATCCCCCCTCCCCATATTGAAAGCCTATGTTTCCGAAAATTTGCGCTGCTGATTTGAGGCCACAAATCAGATGTGTCTTGCAAGACGACAAGGGCAGAAGCTTCCGCCTTATTAGGGGAGCGATTTGTCATGCTGGCGGGCTTAAAGGGGAGCCGTTTGCCATGCTGAACAACTAGACCCGTACGCCCCTACCTAGCCTGGGGATCTGGCGGCAATGCCTTCCTGCAATACAGAGTTGATTTGTGTACACAAATCCAGCATCAGAAATTTCGTTTTGATATGGGGAGGTGGGATTTTTCCTTGCAATACCTTCCCCGCCGGTATTTCGAACTCCGCCACTCCGGGCGTGCCCGCGATCCTCTTCGGACTGGCAGCCTTCTTCCCGACCTTGATTTCGTCGGATGAGATTTTGAACGCGTTCAGATTCGCTTTCGACGCTTTTCCGTGGTCCACGATGGGGTAGGGGTAGTCCTTTCCCAGGACGCAGTTGGCCTGTTTCTGCACCTCCGCGTTCATGAGCCAGGGCTTGTAGATGAATTTGCTGTATCAAGTGCAAAAGTGTCTGGGTCTGGAAAGAATGGAACTTGTCATGCAGATTTTACATGACCCGTGACGTCTGTGATGTATTCCCTAGCATCTTCACAGACTTTCTGACGACGTCTTGATGCCTATTCCGCATGGCAAATGGCCTCCCCGCGTAGCACAAACTCACTGGACTCCTCTTGCTGGTCATGCAATACAGATTTTTTTCGAATCCAACGTTAGCATCACAAGTTCCAACTTTCCAGACCCAGACATTTTTGCATTCCATATACTGGGCACGTTCTTCAGTTCCGGGACAAACCGCTTCACGAACTCGCCCGTCTGCTCCATGTGCAATGCAAAAGCATCGTACTAGTATGAATTGCAATTGCATTACAAATTAGCCCAGCATTACAAATCCAATTTGTAACGCTGATTTACTTTGAGAAAGAGATTTGTAATGTATCAACGCAATTACTACGGCTACGATACTTTTGCAGTGCATACTCCACGTTCAGCGACGACTTGTCGTCCGGGGTCGGGGAATACACCCGGAAGAACGGCATGGAAAAGGGCGCCACCCCGGCGAGCCAGAGCCAGTATCCTGAGTAAAAACGTTACCCACACCAGAGTCAGGATGGGGATTTTGCAACACAAACCTAGGGGCTTTGTGAGTCACGCATGACAAGTTGCACTCTGCAGTGTAGTGCAGGTTAGCAAGTGGGAGTGCAGCCGCGTCACAGATTCATCTGCTCATCCTGTTCATAGCATCACAAATTCCAAAACACGATTGGAAATGGCTCTCATGCGGATGCGCATTACAAGTCTTCCTGTCTTTGCAAATCTGCATTACAACTCTGGTGTGGGTACGTTTTTACTCAGGATAGCCAGTTCCCGTTGTTCAGCGACCAGTCGGCGTCCAGTATCAAATGCAAAAATGTCTGGGTCTGGAAGGTTTGAACTTGTGATGCTAACTTTGGACTCTAAAACAATCTGTATTGCATGACCAGCAAGAGGAGTCTAGTTTGTGCTACGCGGGAAGGGCATTTGTCATGTGGAGTAGGCACCAGGAAGGCCTCTAAAAATCTGTGATGCTAAGTCGTGCATTACAGACACCCTGGGACTGGGTCATGCAAAACATGCATGGCAAGTCTCAGAATCTTCTAGACCCAGACACTTTTGCATTTAATATCCAGGAGCAACTTGTCAAAGTGGTCCCGCCCGTAGGTCCAGTGCTGGTACAGGTCCCCGCGGGTGAGAAAGCAGCTGACCGCGTGCCGCCCCAAGTGGTGCATCCACCCGGTCTCCTTCAGCTGCCGCATCAGGGCGTCGATGTAGGGGTAGCCGGTTTTTCCCTCCTTCCACGCGGTCAAAAACTTGTCGTTCTTGGGCGTCTGCCACGCGATGGGTTTGCACATCGCGTTGTTGTCGGGCTTGTCCCAGTTTGGCACCACGTACCCCAGCACATAGAACATCTCTCGGAACAGCAGTTGCCCGTGCAACGACATAGGGGGAATGGCGTGCTTCCCGCCGGGCGCCTTGTCGTAGCACTTTTGGGTCTCGTGCCACAAATGCTTCACGCTGATGCAGCCGAACTTCAGATACGGAGACAGCCCGGTGGTCGAGGGTTCCGTCCAGTTACTTTCCTTCTCGCTTAATTTCATCTGGCTTGCGCTTTTCTGGTTGGTGGAGGAGGTTCTTGGTTTCTCAAACTGACACACGTAGCTGGTTTGACTGGAAACCCGCGCCTGCAACCGCTTCAGCGCCTCCTGTATGCATTGCAAAAGTATCGTACTAGTATAAATTGCATTACAAATTGGCGTAGCATTACAAATTGAATTTGTAATGCGGATTTGCCTTAAGTGAAAGGTTTGTAATGCATAAACGCAATTAGTACGAGTACGAGACTTTTGCACAGGATATCCTGCTCCCCCCCGGGGAACTGCTTTCGCGACATGCCCTTGTTAGAAAACTCAATCTCCTCCTTGCTGTACCCGACATCGGAGAGTTGCGGCACCCCGAAGTTGCCCGCGGTCACGCTGCTCGGCAGGGGCGGGATCTTTGTTGGCGCCGGTTTCCACATCGGAATGTTGATCTTTTTCGCGGATTCCGGCGTTTTGGTGAACTTTTTCACCATCTTCGTGATCCCGTTCATGTCCGTCGGTGGTTTCTGCTTCTTATCCGTCTTGAAGGCCTTCATATCAACTGTAAAAATGTCTGGGTCTGGAAGAATTCATGTTTGTCATGCTTGTCTGGCATGACTCTTAAATCTGTCATGCATGTTACCCAAGAGCTGCGTTTTTCTGTGATGCAGAAGCGCAGTTTGTCATGCAGAATAGGCAACACCTAGGAGCTCAGAAACTTGTCATGCTGAGCCAGCATTTGTAGCCTCATAGTGAGACGCTACCCAGCATCACAAGTTCCCAGACCCAGACATTTTTACATTTGATACTTCATCACCTCGGACAAGTCCATCAACGTGTGCCCGTTCTGGAACACTTCGCAACCCACTATGGCGCTCTCAGCTGTTACATCGTCAGCTGTTACATGAATTTGTCATGCAGAAGTACCCTAAGCCGGCTGATGATCGAGCTGCTTCGCATGACAAATTTTGGAAGGGCTAGACAGCATCTAAATCTGCACCACACTTGTAATGCAAAAGGCGCAATCTTCCTCCTTTCACTTTTGCCAGTCTTGCATTGCAAATTCATGTAACAGTCGAGAATGTAACATTTGAGAACTCCATACCCACATTCTGCTTCTTGCAGATGTCCTGCGCCTTCTGGTCCCGGATTAGGGCGTACGGCTCGGAGTCAAATTCGAACACTAGCTTTTGGTATGAACTGCAAAAAGTACCGCACTCGTAGTAAAAATCGTAGGCATGCATGTACTATTCTGAAGATACATCGTCCGCATTACAAATAGCATTTTGATTTTTCATGCTGAGGAAATTGTTTGTCATGCGATTTATACGACCAGTGCGATACTTTTGCAATGCATACGTCGAGTTTGAAGTTGATTTTGTTCACGTTCGGTGTGAGCTTGCTCGGGCTGTTGCCTTTCGATGGGGAGGATGGGCCAGAACCACCACCACCTCCGACCAGCTTGGAGATCACCTCTTCCGGCTTGCCCTTCAGGATCAGTAACCTCGACTTGTGCTTTTTCTGGAGCTGGGCGTCCAAATCGGTCAGCGATTCGAGGAGAAATATCAAAAGGATAAATCCCCCCTCCCCATATCGAAAACGAAATTTGTGATGCTGTATTTGAGTACACAAATCGACTTGTAATGCTAGAAGGCCAAGAGACGCAGCGGTGGCCTCGTTTGCAGGCAATTTGTCATGCTGCTTCCCACTTCCAGCTGCCCCCTGTCATGCTGAAGATGCAAGCCTTTCCCACGCCAGCCAGCACTACAGTCCGCATCTTTTCCCTTCTAGCATGACAAAGCGGATGTGAGACCACAAAGATTTGAGTATGGGGTGGGGGATTTTTCATTTTGATAAGAAACCGAAACCGGTTCACGCCGACCTTGCTCGTCTCGAACCAGGGGTCAAGTATGCACTGCAAAAAAAGTATCGCACTCGTACGAATTGCCACCGTGCATGACAAATCTACTTTGCGTAGCTGACTCAGCATTACAAATTTCACTTTTCTTTCTGAGAAAATCTGTGATGCAGTCTGTACTAATACGATATATTTGCAATGCATATCAAGAACGAAGAAGCAAACCACGTTGTCCGCCTTACTACACGCGTCCAGGAGGGGGAGGTTGTCCGTCAACCGGAGACACTTCCGGAACCACACGCCGATGGTCTTGCCCATTTTTGGATGATGACCAATTCGGTCGAATCGTGTTTCTACTTGTGCTGAAAAAAGTGTTCAGAAGTTGCGATGTCGTGCTTGGGGTAAATGGATTCGCAAACTCAAAAGAGATTGCCGAGCTTTATCAATTCAGATGTTGTCACACTACCAACGTAACTACTGCAGGAAAAAAACTGCTGCAATTCCTATCATGTATTTTTCAGTTTTCGATATTAAAAACCAAGAGAATGAGAAATATATCTCTACTCACTTCGAGCGCGTCGATTCGTTTAGAGCAGGGTAGGCTTTGATGGGGTTCGAGGGGCTGTTTATTCTGCACTTTGCAATTGATGGGATTGGGAAGCGGTAGCGAGAAGTTAACACAAACCTAAAAAAAAAGCTATGTAGAAGTCAGTCTACTTTCAAGACACCATCTTTCGGTTTCGATTCACTACTTCGCACTCGTTACCTTTTTCCCCGAGGTGCATGACCATAAGTGATAGGGGCGGCGAGTAACACCAGTAACTGTAACAGAAAGAAGCTACTTAATTTTTATCGCAACAGTCAAACGCTTTGCCCTCGCAGATTCGATCCTGAACTGACGTCGAGGTGATAAATGGAAAGGGGTCGCCGGTACGCTAGATGAGGATGGGAAAAGACAAACTTTAACTTATCACTTTCACGATCACATGGGAAGTACAAGTAGTTAGATGAAAATTCAGTCCGAAAAATCTTCCACCTCAAAGTGTTGCTGATGAATGGAGAGCAAATGAAGCTTCACTCAGCTTCACCGACAGAGCATCTATTTGATTTTTCAAAGGTGCACTTTCCAATTTTTTTTCAACGAAAACAAGGCAGTCTCACTCGATAATATTACCGCGGTGTAAAAATGTTTTTTTTCTACGAAAGCGTGTGTTTTACGAATTGCAAATGCTGCCGCGGACACACTTCTAAACATAAGTCGGATCCAGTCTCAAGTTTGTGGCACTAGGTAGCGATACACACGAAAAAAACCCGCCATATTTCGCCTGCAGGTGGCAGCTGCGGCCTAATGGGAGCTCCTGTTGCTCGACCACCGGATGACACGACTGACAGATGATGGTCGTGAGTGATTCTTTTTGATTCCAGAAAAGTTCCAATCAATTTGCTTTCTACAAATTTCAACTGTACATGAGTCCAGGACATTTCGCGTCTCGCATTTTACAAATCAGCCAGTGTCTCAAAAACTAACATGGTCAGAGTCTAGTAATCTGTCATGGCGTAAAAGTCGCAAACTACAGATGAAATAAGCGGAACTTGATAACAGTCCTAGTTGCAGTTTTGCTCCTTCTGCTCTACTGTCCGCCTATTTAAAATCGTGCGTCAAATTTTCGGCCGGTTGCCCGGCGCAGGGGGGCCAAACGCGGCGCCCAACAGCTCACACATTTGGGCAGATTTAAACTGTCTATAGTGTGTTTGTGCCCTAGGCACGCCCACAACCCCCGCCCTATCAAGTCAAACCACATTGACAATTTCCTGCTTTTTTGGAATCCAAGAAAAAGCTGACTCTTTGGCAAAAAATTCGCCAAAGTGTGAGAATTTCCGAGATTCCGATAATTTCGGCCAAGTTTGAGAGCTAAACACGGCGGCACTCTTGATGTCACCGAGCTCAAAATCAAGCCCGGTGACACGGAGCACAAGTCGGCTGTCACCGAGACGATTTCTGGAGTCACCATCGGCTGTCACAGGTCGCGGTGGCACCAAATTGGCGACTTTTTTGGCTCCGTGTCACCGGCCCGTGTCACCACTCGTGTCACCAACCAAAAAAGTTGCCTCGATTCCCCCCCACCCAAGCTTGATATCTGTCCAAATGGCCCGGAAATAGGCTTGGTAGCTGCCACAGTGGACCCCTGAATGCACGCGCAGCAGCCTGGAGCCAGCATCTTTGTGACGACTCCAGGCTTCATAACTGCATCCATTGAGGCTGTGGCAGAGGCTTTGCCTCTACATCAAAAGGTCAGGGCTAGCCGGCCCATCCTCCTCACGACTCTGACTACTTACAGTCAGAGCAGCGACCTCCACTGGCTGAGAAAGGACGGGCGAAAGAAGCATCAACGCAGGCGCTGAGACCTAGCACAAAGGTCGGCGCTGGGGGGGTGCCAGAAATTCATATTGCTCGGCAGTCACCTAAAAGTCACCGACTGAATTCCTAACGTCCGTCCAAGCTGTAAGCAGTTTTGCTCCTTCTGCTCTTCTGTCCGCCTATTTGAAATCGTGCGTCAAATAAAAGCTAAAGCTCAAGATACTAGACATCTCTCCTGCTAAAAATCTTTTCATTCTCTTTCTCGGTGAGATGACGATGAGTTCTTGTAGTTCTCGATCTGCCAGTAAAAGTGTGTAATTGTAAAAGTTTGTCTGACGTCTCTCTGACGTGTAAGTGTTTGAAGTAAAAGTTGACGTGTTATAATTCCATCCCCGTTCTTGTTGAAGCAAGACCTCCATCGTGCTCTGCGATACTAGCGATGACTTACTCCTGCATAGAAGTGATCACGCTACCATTTTGGATTTCCGCAGTACTTTAGGTTTGCAGCCCGGTACGCGTTGAGGTCAGTCATGGTAGCGGCTCGGCAATCGCGCAGCGCGATCTCCCGCTTCGCTCTTTCGTCACCCGCCATCTCTACCAGGAGTCGTGTGCGCCTAGTAGTTTAATTTTTTTTTCCAATTTTAATCATCTTCACGAATCATGATCAAGCGTATGCATGACAAACAGAGAGTCGCTTCTACGCATGTTGCATGACAGCTTTTTAGAAAAGACGAATGGCACTACGATATGTACCTTTGTATGAAGGAGTCTGTTTGTGCTGCCTTTTTCATGGCTTGCGCTTCAAACCTCTCCTGTTTCTGCCTGTACGCGGTGTCGCGGAAATTCCTTGCCGTGGTGTGTCTCCAAGTGTGCATGGAGTTTCGGTTTACGTGAAAGGCGCGGGCTGATATTGATACGATTCATTTTTTTAGCAATCTGAGTAATGGCATATCTACTTGTGCACGATAATTAGTTTACCATCAAACAACTGCTCTAGTACCCTCACATACGACAGTACTGCAAGCGCAGATACAACAACAACAAAAAAAATGAAGTACTGGCTTCCAACGTGTCTCCGTGGTTATTCACGTGCAGCTTCTCTCTTCTTTCGTTGTTGTTTGACTCGTCTATTTTGTTTTTCCAGAACGTTTTCAGCCTAAAATCCCTCACGGTTTCTTTTCGCTGCACCTTCTGCGACTGCAATTTCTGGTTGTCCTGTGCCGAGACTCCGGTGCAATTCATGCCCGACAGCCATTTCGAAGTGTTCAGATTCGCCATCTTGTGGCTTGATGTAGTTCTTCCTGCGTAGGGAGATGATTCGAAAGTAGCAGTTGTTGCAGGAGGACTCGAAAAAACTACTACATCTACTACCTAGTACCAGAACATGCGCTCTAAACTACACCTACACCTCCAAGGTTATGGCCTCACATTGCTCTACAACGAAATTCAAATTCGTATATATGAAACTCACAACACATAAAGAGCCATGATACCGAACGAAATTTATATTGAGGAAGCAACATCATTGTTCAACGGAAAGACGGGTACAACGAGAAAATTATCTTTTTCATCCGCCGACGATAACAACGTACAAGACTCGTTTGCATTTCAGGTGGTAGAGACGAAATAAAATAACGACCCTTGTTCAGAATTGTGCTCCTGATGACCCTGCTGCTCGACGCACAAAAGACATTAAATTGCTCAGCACGACCCTGCTCATGACCTCACTCATAATCATAAAAGTTCACGGAAGACGATGATGCAAAAGGGGAAACCACATTTGTGGTGGTGGTCGCGAACATCGCAACTTCAACGACGATGTTGCGCGAACTTTCGTAAGACCACGACGGAGCTCATGTGTTACGCTCCTGTGGTGCTCGCAGCTGCGACCTCTACTGTTGTCAAATACGCATCCTTGCAGCTTCAGCTGGCAATTCTTCAGCACCCGCAAGCCTGATGTAAGCTCCTAACTATGATCTTCATCTCGACGCTTTTTACAAAGAACTCTTCAGTCAGTCACTCCAAATCAAGTAGTTTTGCCTGTTTGCCTGGACGTGTAGCAAGAAGTTCTTTCGTTCGAAGGACTTCCACTTCTTCATCTGGGATTACATCATCTTCTAACCACTCACTCGCTCCTCCTGCTGTAGTCTGTCGGAACCACTATGAAGATCTCGTCCTTGTACAGCGTCCTCGTCCTTGAACTTGACGGAAGCAGATTCGCGTGATGGTGATCTCCGTGGAAGTACTTCTAGTACCCACCACCTGTTCATCTACAGCTCCGAATACACGTCCCTCCTCGCCGGCGGTTTCGGTGGCGGCGCAACTACAGAAGCCCCACCTGCTTGTTCCGAAGTTGTTGCACTACTAGCACCACCTACATGTTGTTGTCCTTGCTCAAGGACCTGCTGCTGGTGGTGCGTCGTGCTCGCGTGTGCTGTACTACTACTAACCGACACGGTGTCACTATCCAGAAAAAAAACAAAAAGTGTGCAAGTGTGACTTTCTTTAAGGAACAGCATCACAAATTTAGTCTACATGACAGAGAAGACCTGTCATGCGTGGCTTGTAAGGCAAAACACACATGAAAAGAGGGCTTCATGGCTGTCTGGCATGATAGGCGTAACTCTGTTGCATGTTCTGCAACACAAATTTAGACTATATTACACAGTTTTTTTCTTGCGTAGTCATGATGCATGTGGACCACATTCTCCTCCCCACCGGCCGCTTCATATGCAATACAAATCTCCCCTACATGCATAAAATGCATGATAGATTTCGCTACCTTGGAGAAGTGTCTAACTTGTCATGCGGACTAGAATTGAAGGCAAGTGCTGTCATGCAGAGACAGCATTCGACGTACGTGTACGGGAGGTTTGCTGTGGATACCTCGACCGCCTGTTTCACGGCGTCTCGGTGCTGCTCCGCGTGGTTTTTGTAGTGCTGTTGCAGATGCGCCTTGTGAATGGCGTCGTGGACCTATGGGAGTGCAGGAGACTCCCGCTCCCCCTCATTTGTATAGCAGGAGCAGCAACAGAAGGAAGGCCACGAATGTAGCTTTTGCATGACAAATCCGGACATGAATTGCAGTCCTGATTGGACGTCCAAAACTTGTCATGCGCGCAGTGCTTATGCTTAAGGGCAAGAGCTGGGCTCGGTATTTCGCATTACAAATGGGGGGAGGGGTGAAGTTGTGCACTCGCCTAAGACCGCGTGTTGGTGACTTTCCTCGTCGTGATGGTGGTGATGATGATTTTGGTGAGCCGCAGAGGCCGCAGCGAGTTCGTGATGATGATCATGATGATTGTCATGCCCATGTCCATGATGATCGTGCCCATGATCATGTCCCCCATGCGCCGCAGACTCCTCCAACACTCCGACCTGGTAAACCAGAAACAACGCGAAGAAGGACACAATCCCGCAATACAGCATGGCAAGCTTCCGGCTGGAGTTTACCGTGGAGGATTATGCATTGCAAAAGTATCGCACTCGTATAAAAAATGCATTAAATAAATTTCCTCAGCATGAGACATCAAATTTGTCATACGGATTTACCTTGGGAAAAAAGTTTGTAATGCATGACTGCAATTACTACGAGTACGATACTTTTGCACAGGATAAGGATTTGGTGTGGACAAAAATCGATTTTTTCACCTGCGGGAAGATCATGTAGAAGGACAAAGACAAAAACGAGCCCGCGGTGACGGCGACAAGGGTTTTCTTCACCGTCTTCATCTGCTCCAGTTGCAGCACGGTGGTCGATATCCTGTGCAAAAGTGCCGTACAGTCATGCATTACAAGTTTTTTCCTCAAGGTAAATCCGCATTACAAATTTCATTTCTCACCCTGAGGAAATTTGTAATGCATTTAAACGAGTACGATACTTTTGCAGTTCATAGTCGACAAGAAAATCCCCACGAGCGTGGATAAACTGACCAAAAAGTTCCAAAACAGCAGCTTCTTCGTCGGGAAGCCGGCGAGGCGGAGCACCATGAAATCGCCCAGTTCCTGCGGAATTTCGTGCAGGACGATCGCGAGCGTGGTATTGAAGCCAGAAAGTTTGTTCCCGGTGGTGAAAGCGACGCCGATGGCCAGGCCGTCGACAAAGTTGTGGACGATTTCCACGATGAGGTTTGCTAACCCGAACGACTTGATCTTTGGTTGATTGTGGAGTTGTTGTAGGGTTGCTGTGGTTTTGCTCGTAGTTGTGCTGCCCTTTGCCTGTTTCATCTTCGTCTTGTCGCTAGAAGCCGAACGCATCTTGTGTTGATCAGTTGGGGATCCATCATTGCCTCCTCGGCCTCCTCGTGCAGTGGACGTTGTCCTTGGGCTCGCGTCGCCGTAGTGAAGATGGTCTTCATCTCGTGCTGAATGTGACTCGTGAAGATGTCCTGTCAATTCTTCATCGTGATCGTGATCAACCAAGCCGTCCAACTATGCATTGCAAACATGTCTGGGTCTGGAAACCTGTGACGCAAGGAAGGGAATAGTGAGCACACACACACACTGTGATGCGCGCTCCCCAGCATGACAAGTTTTTCGCTGCTTCTGAGTTGCGTACTCCGCATGAGAATCCGCGTTTTTTACATGACAGACAAGCGGACCTCTTCGCGGGCACGCAATACAGAATTTAGAGTCGTGCCAGACTAGCATGACAAGTCTCAGAATCTTCCAGACCCAGACATATTTGCGTGTGATACCAACAGCAAAAGCGCAATTCCCCCAATGGCCGCCATTAAACCGTAGTACATCACACCGCCGCAGCAATCTCCTCCTGCGCCGTGATCGTGATGGTCATCATGTTTGTGATCATGCATATCACCGCCCGAAGATGAACTTCCAGCGGGCTCGTGCGAATGCGCACCGTAACACTCCGGCAACAGATGCATCAACGCGTCCCCAGCGAGTGCAGAGCCCGCAAAGGAGAGTGACAGATACTCGACCGGCCCCTTGATGCTGTCGATGTTCAGCAGCCCGATGGTGACGACGCCGACGAAGGACATGAGAGAAACGCAAATCCCGGAGACGTGTCAAATGTAAAAATGTCTGGGTCTGGAAGGTTGCCAGGTTTGTCATGCATATTTTCCATGACTCAGAATGTCTGTAATGCATGATCTGGCGTCACATATTTTTAGAGGCCTTCCTGATGCCTATCCCGCATGACAAACGCCCTCCCCGCGTAGCACACACTGGGCTCCTATTGCTGGTCATGCAATACAGATTTTTTTAGAGTCCAAAGTTAGCATCACAAGTTCCACCCTTCCAGACCCAGACACTTTTACATTTGATAAGACGTAGGCGGCGGCGATCGGGTCGACCGTGGTGGTGGAGGGGCCCAAGAAGGGGGAAAGGATGACGTTGAAAAACGCCTCCACAAAATCGTGGAAGCACCACCCGCCGCAGGGTTGCGGTTCTTTCAGGGAGGGGGGTGCGGGCTGCTGCAGAGTTACGACTCCTTCCTGGTGCGGTCCGAGCCAGTGGGTTATGGCTGAAACCGAGTCGGACAGAAGGGAGAGGACCATGTTTTGTTCTCGTAGACAATTTCTCGATTCTAGTTTAATGCGAGACGACGATTCAGGTTGTCGTGCACGTGTTTCGAAGATGCAAAGTAGTGGTTTTACACGCATCTAAGTGTGAGTGACCATGCGATCTTCAAGAAAATCGAATCCTACAGACGAGGGTCAAAGTGATCATTGCGTCGGAACTTCTGAGCAGGCACGAGGAGCGTAGTGCGGCCCATCGCGAAAATCCTTTGATCTTCATCATGTAGGAGCGCAAGTGCAAGAAGCAGAGCTGGCACGACCTACAGTCGATTCTTGGAGGTGGAGGCAAACTGGTCAATCTTTCTTCATTCAACACGACGCAGATGAACAATCAAGCACGTGCTTTTGCCTCTGCCCGCTGTGTTAAACAGCAACAGCGATGTGGTCACACCTTTCACGTATTTCCGTTCATTGTAGTGTCGCCTTACCCTTAACGAGGTCGCTCCATTACCAGTTCACAAAATCAAACTGGAAAACTCCATTCTGTCATTGACATTTCACTTCGTCGCTAGATCTAGAAATACATTCGCTTTTCATGATCTTGCTCTTCTTTCGTGACGTTGCAGTAGTTCCAATTGGAAATATCTACTGACCCACCTCCCTGAACCTGGCCCACGTAGAAAACCTTCCCCTTCGCCATTGCCGCTAGGGGAACTGCGACTTCCAAGTTCGAAAGATTCGCTATTTGCTCCATATCATCTTGGACTTGGCTTTCTTCCGCAGCAGCTGTGTCGACGACGACGTCCCCACCGACCAGCAAAATAACGTCCGGCCGGTACGCCGCATTTTCGTAGATGGCTTTCGCGCACTTGGCGAAGTCAACCAAGCTCATTTTCGAGTACACCACACCACTCAACGGGTCGCCAGCAGCGGCGAGGAGCTCTAGCTATCGCAAGAAGAAACTGTTTCACTGTGTCTGTGAACTTGTGATGCATAGAATGGAACACAGAATTACTTGTCTTGCTACACCTGCAAGGCATTGGATTTTTAAGCGTGTATTCCCTTGGAAAGCGCGCATGGCAAATTTTCTGCGTCATGTGTAGCAAACTTGTGATGCGGATCTTGCAAAACCATCACAGTGAAACAGTTTTTTCGTGGGATACTAGCGGTTGAGCTTCCACTCCTTCTTCGTTTTCATCATCTCGTTCCGCGGTTCTGAAATCGTAATCGACGAATTTCTGCTCCTCCTGAAATGTTTTCTTCAGAAAAGATGTCATGGGAGAAGTTTTGTTCTTGTTCATTTTTCCTGTCGGAGCTGCAGCCTTCTTCGGTCTTGAAGTAGAATCAAAATTTTCCAAATCGACATCAATTTCGCCACCCGCAGCAGAAATTTCGTTCTGCAATTCCCCAATCTCCTGTAACAATCTCGGAGCTTCTGTTTCGTACCTCCGTTCCAGCAAACACTGCACGAAGCAGAATTTCTGCTCCGCGGAGCGGAAGTCAACCAGGGAGCGGAGATGGTATCTGTATTCGTCTTTCACCGATTGCGGAATCTGTGTCGTGATGTGTGGGTGGTACGTGATGTGTTGAAATTTTGTGCTCGTCACTTGTGATGTACCACCAGTTTCTTGGCGGGTAGCGGAGGCGGCTCCTGCACAGCGGTCGTCGAGGTTCTTGTTCCGCTGCGAAAAAAATGGAAGAAAGACGGCTTCGCTGTCAACGAGAAACCTGTGCAGCGATTGGAGCTTTTCGACACCAAGAGGAGCTTGACATGCTCGTCGACGCATCAACAATGCTTGTTTTGAGAAGAATGATCCACCCCCAGGAGAATTTTTCTTAACCCCGAAAGACCCTTCTGCGTCGCGCTGCTCCTCCGCGTGACGACCTCGTGCCCAAGAAGAACAGCCGCGTGTTGATGCAGAAGAAGATGTTCCGGTTCCGCCCACTACCTTCAAGCTTTCCCACAATTCCCGGTCGTGTAGCTCCTTCAGTTTGGTAACCAAGCTGTCGAAATCCGTGCTTTTCGCCAACTTTTCCCGACACCTGTCCCACTCTTCCTGCTCTGGTAGCCAGTTGGCCAAACACTTTGTGAGGTAGGCAGAGTTCTTCTTCTCTTCATCGTCCACGTCCTCACTACATGAGGTTGAGCGATTCTTGTTGCTACGATCTTCACGACACGCATGATCTTCATCACTTTCATTTCTCTTCATGTTCAAACCCGGAAAGCTGCTTCTCAGCACTCGCTGAGGGCAATACCGCAAAAACGCTTCAGCATCGAATTCGCCAGTTACCAGGGCACGAAATTGAACCAGTTTTTGTCGAAGTTGTGTGAGTCTGACGTTGGTGGCGTTCGTCTTTGAGGTAGATGATGTTGTGCGGGGTCGTCGTGTTTTCTTTACACCTGGACCTGCTGAAAAGTAGTTGTGATCTGGCTCCAGAGCCTCAACCTGCTTCTCCGGTAGAGAAAAAACGCTGTGTCCCTCTGCGTACAGGATCAGAAATTTTCGGACAGAAGAGATGGCAGCCGGACTGGCGATGGCGGATTCGCCATCGCCTGCGGTCGGTGATGCTGCTGAAGTCTCGTGTTTCAGCACTTTGCGAATCAGGACCTCCGGTCCTTTCAGGCGGTCGGAATTTTCAAAAGCAATCCGCGGAAGTCGAAACTTGTGGCCCGCTCGATCAACATCGCGTACTACTCCGCCGCAAGCCGTCTCCAGAAAGGAGGAACAACTGAACTCTGATTTACTGGAAGATATTGGAGCAGCAGCTCTTCCTGTCGTTCCTGCAGTATTGGTCGTGGTTTCTTTGGTAGCCGCTGCTCTCTCCGCAATCTCTTGGTCAAGCAGGTAAGCTTTCAAAAAATCGGCGAGGCCACGGAACTATCCTGCTGGAAAGAGTTATCATCTCCTCGGAATGCCAGATTATTTTTTCGCACGCCTCAGCACGGCTAAGCTTCTCTTCCTCGTGCATTCTTTTTCTTTGTGCGGAGTCGGTCACAACCACAAGCATGATCGTCATGCAGCTCTTAACATGCAAAGGATGAAGATCACAACTTGATGACTCACGTGCTTAAACTAGGCAAGGAGATGCACTACAACATCCTCCGCAGGATAGATTCATCTCTCGCTCCAGCTCCGAAAATCCGGTGGAATCGAGTCGGATGGGAAAATTAGTCCCAGCGGTGTCCTCTGAAGATGAATTCTCAACATTATCAACAGAGCCGCTCTTCCTTCCGCTTGTTTTTGGAGGTGCGAACACTCGATTTTGGTTCTGCGAGGAAGAGGAGAAGCCACTATTTTGTTCCGCCGTCATCAGAGCCTGCACTGTCTGCTCCCACGTGGCCAAACAAGATCTTGTTGCGTGGCGAAACTGACCTGCATCCTGGTCCCAACAACCGGCTCCGGCTGCCGCGCTCGACGGCAGCACTTGTGCGATGACAAACACGCGCGAAGAGGACGAGGAAGTTTGTTCTGCAGCACAAGAGTCGGGATTTTGTACCTGGTCCCCGCGGTGGTTCCAGTCAAACGTATGGGTCGTACTATCCCCACCAGACGGGTAAGAGCGCTGAGGTTGTGAATAAACGCCCGCAGTTGCACCATGGACATCAGCATTCTCCAGATGATCACAACAATGATGTCGACCCGGGTGCATCAGAGGATCATAGTACTCATCGTCCGCTGCACAATTCTCTTCGGCTGCAGACGATGAGGAAAATAAGTCTTCCTTTTCTTCCTCGTCACTGGACGACGTTGTTGTAGACGATTGATCTTCCATATCTGCAGAGGATGATGAGCTAGCGGAGGAGGGCAAAGAAGAGCCGTCGTCGTCGTCGTCGCCGCCGAAAAGGTCTCTGCGCTGCTCCTTGCTGTCGTCCGCTACATCGCTGTGAGAGTCGTAACTGCTACAGCTGCAGGATGACGAGGATCCACGACCTGCAGGTCTCTTGTAGTTCTTTACCTGGTTATATGCATTGCAAAAGCATCGTACTAGTATAAATCGCAATACAAGTTTTTCCAGAAGGAAAAATGGAATTTGTAATGCTGATTTCGCTAAGAAACAAGATTTGTCATGCATGATTGCAATTAGTACGAGTACGATACTTTTGCACAGGATAGGTTCCTAACGTACCTGTCATCCTCGGAAGAAACGGAGACATCGTCTAAGCAGTCATCAACACCGTCGTCATCATCTCCGTCGCTGTTCTCCTTCCGAGAAATACGGTTTATCTGGGGCATATCACCTCCACCACTTTGACGTCTCCTTTCTACTTTATCAACAATTTTCGATCCTTCGTCCACCCCCCGTACTTCGTTCTTTCGCAGCCTGTTCTTCGTCTCCCGTGCTTTCTGCGCTTTCTTCCCGCCACGGCGCCCTCTTGTAGTTTTGGTCGAACCAGCTGCTTGTGGTCCACCTGCTGGTGGTCCACGCCCTCCTCGCTGTGCTTGTGCGTCACTATTTGTTTTCTGGTAGTTTCTGTTACCCTCTTCGTCTGCTTCCGACGCTCCGCTCACTCGCTTGTCGTGTGTCCCACCATCATCATCCGCTGGTTCCTCGACGTCCTTTCGCTTTCTTCTACACGCCTTCTCGAGGTCCTCAAAAAGCTCCAGTTTTTTTTCCCGTTTTACTTCCCTTTCCCGCGCTCGAGCCCCTCTCCGCCGTGTTCGCCCACTTTTCGTCCGGCGAGGCCGATTTTTGCTGTTGCGCTGCCGTTTCTTGGAGGAAGAGCCGGAATTCCTGTTATCATCCCGATCCCCATTTTTGTTTCGTCGAGAAGAAAAGTCCTTACCACCTTGACAGTTGTTTTTACCCTGCTGAACAGCTGCAACCCCGACAGGGTGAGCTCCACCTGACATCATAGTCGTGCTGAACGCGTTGTAAAACAAGTGCTGCTCCTGCCCTCCTGCAGCAATAGCAGCGTAGAAGGGATCTTCGCCAGCAGCTCCTGCGTCCGGTGTCGTATGCGAGATCGGGGGATAAGGTGGAAAGGCACCTGTTGGGTAAGGAAACGCCGGGTAGTGGTGATGGTGGAGAGCAGCTGCTGCAGTATTGCCGTTGTGGTCTGGGTGCGGCAAAAGTTGGCCGCCGTTGTGGAGATGCTGGTGCTGGTGCATCGCGTGCATGAAATGCACATAGGAGTTGTAGTCGTAAACTGGATGCTCTTGAAGATGTGGGTGATATTGCGGCGGGTAAGCTGGAGGAGAATAAGCAGCATCAAACCCCAAAGGCCCTCCATGATGCGACCAAGCGGCATCATGTTCATGCCGCAGCTCCGGGGAACGTGGTGCAAAAGCAAAATCTTGTTCTGCGGCGTGTCTCTGATTCTCGGTTCTCGTTCTTTTTTCCTGGTCACGACGCGGGGCTTCAGAACAAGCGTCCACTGGAGGTCGAGGTGGAGCCGTTCCAGTGACAGCCTCCTCTGCAGGTAGTTCCTCTGCATCGGCGCGGCGGTATTCCGGCCGATTCATCAGAGAAACAACCTCACCCGTAGCCTCCGGCTCCTGCACGAGAGTCATAATTCCCTCAGGCGGTGGTAGTCCAGGCGGCGGGCGGTATGATGAGGATGGTTTCGTTTGCGTAGTCTTTGCCGCGACTGCGCACGTACTAGAAGAAGGTCCTATTGCCAAACTCTTGTCGTGCTGCCCAACAACAGGCGCAGCTGTCAAACCGGTGTATGTTTGTTGCGAAAGTGCCAGACCTTGTTCACCAGTAGCCTTTTCGTAGTTCTGCTGATCGCGGAAAAAGAAGTCCACCGGGCAGCACAACTCACTGTCAAAATCATTCATCGCCGCCCGGCGTATGGCGTCGTACTCCAGAAAACTGTCTGTGAGGTGAGGATTTATTGCATCTTGTGGATGCGGTGCCGAAGCGACCTTTGAAGTAGATGTTGCGTCAGCACAGCAAACACTTCTACTTGGAACAACAGCTTCATCCGCCCCAGCGTCGATCAAAGTAGCCGAAGACGATTCATCTCTGGGAAGTAAGGTATCAGCACGGCCGTGGGACGAGGACAATCTTTCTCGAACTACATCTACATCGTCTTCGTAAGCAGGCCCATGAAATGGAAGCTCCACTTGCACCACCGGACGAGTATGGGGAGATCTACTTCCCGGCATCAAAGCGGTGTTTCTGTGCTCTTCGTCCCGGAGATCTTGATCTTCCTCTTCTTCAACGCAGCCTTCATCGGGTTCGGGGGGCACTATCATGTTCTTACTAGCTCGAGTGGCGCCACACGACCCAACATCCTGTTGTGCCGGGAGCTCCACCTCCACGGACGGCGACAGCTCCGGCTGGAAAAATTGTCCACATACATCCTGATCCTCCTGCAACAGAACCTCCAACCTTTCCGAAGTGGACGGCGTGCCTGCCGCGGGAAAGTTTTTGGACGCGACCTGCAGAAGCTCCTGGTGTAAGGAGTGAAGGAGAAGTTGCTTGCGCTCCTCTAGGGGATTGACGGTTGGTGTGGCGGGCGACGAGACTGCTAGCACTGTATCTGTCTGTGCAAACAAGCCAGTCTGCACCATTTGGGACGACGAGGTTTGATTGCCTAGCATCCTGTCGTGCTGGTAGGCGTCCTGAGCACCGGTTTCTTCCATGGGAGAAAACGGCGCGGACTTTTGCACAGCGCCGGGTTGTACTTGTAGGCTGGCGCTGCTAAGATAATATGGCCGCGGCGCAACATTACCTCCCGACAGCGCAGGTGGCGCGCCAAAAAGGTGCAGCAAGTCGTCATGATTTTTGTCTTGATTTTTTCCTGCAGCTGCGATGCCGACTTCAGCGCCCACGGTACTAGGGGAGAAAAAGTCATCGGGCAAGCCCAAATCAGCCGCGGGATTGAGAGTGTCTTTTCGTGGCGCCGGCGCGGTGACCTCGTCGCCCTGAGGACCATTTGTTTCCTCCCCACCGAACAAATCGAGCAAGTCCGGCTCGCGACTGGAGGCAGCCTTGGTGAAATCTAGTACCTGCGACCGTGATGTTTCCGCCTCCGGAAAAATCAGGGTTTGCGTGTCAGTATCGTCGTCGAGAAAGAGTTCGGCTTTTTGACCGCCGCCTCCCTCAAAATTTTGTTGTTGCTGGTGTACTGCTAAGATTCTTGCCGTAGGTCCACAATTGTCCTCTGCGCCTTCATCACGACCACCCTCGAAGACAACAACTTGCTGGATCAGCAAGAGCGAGTGACAGCTCCTCTCCTGTGACTTATAATTCGCAGTACCTCGTCCTGTGTAGTTGCGCAGCTGCACCCTAGCGTAGTCCCCAACATGCGGGAGGCCGCAGGTCGTCGTGGAAAGAACACCATGTCGATCAAACAAGTTCTGCGCGGCTTCGAAGACCACTTGCCCCGCCTCGCCTGTGCCAATACCGAGGAACCGAAAAGAACGGCTTGCATTTTGATCATCGAAGCAGGATGCAGAAGTTTGCGCAAAGGACTGTTGATGTTGATTCTGCCACAGAACAGCATCTCCTAAATGCGACAGGCAGCTGCGGCCCTCGTGGTATCGAAGCGCCCCTTGCAGCAAAGCCCGCACCAAGCTCTTGCCACAAGAGGACCAAGTAGCGGCTTCGGCTTCTGCACTTCTGCTTCTGAAGTGCGCACCAAAGTCGAACTCCGGTTTTACCAGAGCATTCATTCGTGTCGCATGTAGTTCATTATCCGAGTGAAGGAGTTTAGGGCCAGAGGAGGGGAACGCTTTATCGCGGCTGCGTCCTCTCGGATGAAACTGCTGGTGCTGCATCAAGGACATTTCATCCCTAATAAAGTGAAGAACTTGTTTCTCTTTCTCCCAGTGGGGCGCTGTTGGCGGAAGAAAATGCTGTTGATGGCCACCACCTCCTGCGCGTTCCTTAGAGTGGCCCCGCGGATGCTGATGCTGCCAACGCGCTGTATGTGCATTTTGATTTTCTACTTTGGTGTCCTGTTCCTGTTCTTGCTGACGCTGCTTGTTGCTGTTCCAGCAGGTGCTAGATGACCAACCCTGCTTAGTCTCATTTATCCAAGTCTCGTTTGGGTTTACCGTTCTTCCCTGCGCGCCATGTGTATCTCGGTAGGAGCTCGTCCCTCTGGCAGCACGATCCGTTTCGTCCTGTTTGGCGCGTGAAGCAGAACCTTTCGTAGCCTGTGGGGGATCCCATGTGCTGTCTTGATGCGACCGTTGGTTCTTTGCTAGTGCCGCCTCCTTTGTGGGGTGAACCCCCACCGAGTTATCTTCTTTGTCTTTCTTCACCGAACCAGTGCAGTTTTTCCTGTACATGACCGGATTCTGTCCGCGAGCCTTCAAGCCCTCCAGGTAGGCCTTCAACTTCTGCTGCGTTTCCTCCGGCGTGCGGGCGGTGAGCGGTTTGGGTTTGGCGACTTGCCCTTGCGGTTCCTGCTTTGGTTTGTTCGCATCTTCCAGCTTGTAGCTTTTTATTTCCGGTGCTGCGGGAGAGGGCTGTTTGAGTTTGACTACAGCTTTTGCACCTGCGGTCTCCGGATGTTGCTGCACCAGCTGCGCATCAAGCTTAATATTTTTGCTTGCCGTTTGGACTGGTTTCGGTTTTGACGCGTCAGCGTGCTCTGCTGTTTTCGTCCCTTTTTCCCCGTACTTTATTGCGGTTGCAGAAGCGATAGCCGCTCCTTTCGGCGTAGGAGCCCGAGCAGCTGTAGTTTCCTCTCCGGTATTTATTTTTCGTTGCTCGACGCGTTCGATTTTAGTTGTACTGCTCGGATCCTGATCTACCGCTTTCTTCAACTGCTGCTGGGATGGATTTTTGAACGAGGTCCTCGTACCCGCCGCCGTGCTAAGTTCGTGCTGTTTTCGCTTGATGTTCGCCGCACCCGCGACCTCCTGTTCGTCCTTCACCGAGACCACTTTCGCCTTTATTTCCGATGATTTTCCCTTTTCCACGACCACAGCAGTGGCACGATTTTTTTCCGCTTCTTGTTCCATCTGCGCAGCGAATTGCATTCTCACCTTCTCAATTGTGGCTTTGGTTCTCGGGGTCAGGTGATCAAGCACTGAAGAGGTTGGCTCGACGTCCCTCGTCGACGAAGTAGTAGACCTTCCGCCAGTATTTACCATTTTACTTCCGCTTAAGGAAGTAGATCCCGCTCCTGCTGCTGTGCCAGAACATTGCTCCTCTGCTGGCCTAGCGTCTGGTCGTGGCATTTGCAGGTTCAAACGCAAGCGTAGGTTTTTCGCAATGGTAGCAGAAGTTGCACTGCTCGCGACATTCTTCTTTTTCTTCTTTATTTTCGGGTCCGACGCAGGTGGAGCTGCTGCATCAAGGCAGTTTCCCTGTGCAGTGGTACTACACCTTGCAGCTTCACTGGACAGAAGAGACTTTGAGGGCCGCGTCGACACGCCCAGGGTCGTATTACGATCTTCAGGCAAATCGACTTCGCCGGGAGTTCGAGTTGATGAAGGCTTCCTTTCCGCCCGCGGGCCACCAGGCGGTCCTGTGTTCCACCGGCGGGCGGTGCTGTTGTAGTTGTTGTCGCCTGGTGGTGGTTCAATGTCATCGTCGTCGTCACTGTCCACATCGGAGAAAAAACCCGCCCCAGCTTCTACTGCAGCTCGACCTTTTGCGTCGTGCTGAGAGGTGTTAGATACAGCCTTACGTTTCGCTTCGTGAATGTCATGATCCTCCTCACGACCCAGCTGCAGCTGCGCGGGGGTCTTCGCCGTTGTTTTCGTGTTAGATGGTGTAGGGCCGACACCCGTGTTCCAAGTTCTCTGTCCTCCCGTGGTCTGCTTCTTGTTCGATTTTTTGTTCTCAACCGCGAAAAAATCCTCGTCACTCATCCCCCAGAGTTCATCATCATCGTCCTCGGTCAAAAATATAGCAGACGGATTAATGCTGTTTCTGGTCCCTCCATATCCAATCCCACCGCCTGCGCCGGCAGCTGCGGTAGTAGTTGGAGCAGGAGCACGAGCGGTCGATGCTGTTGCACTCGACGTCGCTCTGCGCTCTTTGTCTTTGGCAACAGCGTTAGCGGCCTGGGCCTGCCCGTCAAGAAGACGATCACGAACATCCTCTACAACTCCAGTGTTCCAGGTTTTTTTCTTAGACGACATGGCCAACACTTCGGACAATTCATCATCATCCCCGTCGGAGGAAATGTCGTCGAGGAGGAAGTCGTAAGGTCGTTTTGGCTTTGATATTTTCGAGGACTTGAAACTGGATTTCTCTGCAGCTGGTGTCGTGCGCCCCGTGCTAACGTCCTCGCCTTTGGTCGTGCGCCGAGAGGGACGAGCAGCTCCTCGTCCTGCATTCAGCACAGATGTTGCTGTTGGCATGACGTCGAAAATCTTGCTTCCGTTTACCTATTGGAAAACATGCTTCGAAATGAGGTGGAATTCATCCAATGCTCCTCACCGAGGACTTTTAGATTCTGGATGTGCAAGTGCAGATGGTCCACTGCATAGTCTGGTGTGCTCGAACTCTGCACCGTGCTAGAGCTGCATCAAGAGCGAGGAAAACAATCTCATTTTGCTTCTCAGAGAGCCTCGGACGAGTTATGCTCTACTTTCGGATGCTTTCGCGACCAAATGTGGTCCTAGTATGCTACAGCGACTTTATCGACAACGAACAGCAACACACACACTACAAATGAAGAACAAACATGATGGAGAAGTTGATGCAAGCATAGCTGAGATTATAGAAATGAGTACCAACAACATGAGCTCGGGCATGGTGGCTCTCGCCAGTCTAGCTGTTCTGTAAGTAGTTCGCCGAGGATGTCTGTGATCACGACCGAAACACTGTTGCCACGACGAGGGCTGTTACTTATGAAAAGATCCTTCATGGAGTGCTTTCTTGTGTAGCGTTGCGCGATGATGATTTAAATCAGTTCGATTCTAAGCCTTAGTGGCGTTGCGTGTTGATAGAGAAATAACACAAACACAATCATAGATGCCCACCGCCACCTTGGGGACGATCTAGAGACATGTTTGCCGGACCATACTTACAGAGTACAAATTGAAGACGGGGGCGGGGCGCCTGGATAAAGATCATCGATTGATGATCCCGACGGACCGGCAACAAAGGAACGTTGGGCCGGCACCGAGCAAAACGCCACGCAGACCCGCATCCATAACCCGCAAAGAATCTACGCGCCACACCCCGGAACAGGCGAATGGGCCGAGGGCGCGCGGGCGCCCCCGTCCCCCAGGCCTGTGGGTGTGACCTCTCCTCCCTGTAGCGCATGCAATATGCACAAGAACGCAGCTCCCGAGCAACGACCGAAGCGCGCGGGCGAGCGCGAACGCCTGAACATGAAAAACACAAAAAAACCCCGGGCGCGCGCGCCGGGCGCGGCGGCCTCGCCCTGGCTGCCCGCAGGGGGGGCGGCGAGCAGGCACCCAAACTGCGCACGGGGGCAGCGCAACACGAAAGAAATACGCCGGGCCAAAATAAACTAATGCCGCAAGCAAGCCCCGCCCCCTGCGACGCTCCCCCCGCTTGCCACAGAAGGCCACGCACCCAACACCAGGAAGCGCAGCAGGCCGGCGGCCGGGCGCCTCCCCAATAATTGGCGCCGCCCCTCCCAAAGAAAACGAGAGGCGCCGCGCCCCCTCCGTCCCTCTGCCGGTGGCGGCAACCGCTTCGCGTGGCTCCGTACGCTGTTAGAGCGTTCTGGCACAGTTTGCGCACTTGGCGCAGACAGCGGGGGCGTGTTGGCGCCCGGCGCGGCTTTATGGAATGTCTGCGAACCACGCACCCGCGGGAAGCTCGGCAGCCCACGCGCGAAACGCGGGGGCCTCCCGCGCCGGACATTCACCCCCGCGCCCGCGCAGCGCGCGGCCGTTCGAGCGCGATGGCCCCGGCCTCCACGCGCTGGGCGCTTGGTATTTTTCCAATGGGCGACGCGCCCGCTGGGCCGGCGGGCGCCAAGCCAGGCCGGCGCTTGCTCTCAGCTTCGGCCAGTTCGCACCGAGCGAGGAATTTCTTCGGCGTCGCCTCCATCTGCTCCAGCCTTCCGAACCCGCTGCAGTGAATGAACAACGCGCGCAACAGGAAGAACGTGCCACAAAGTGCGCGCGCTATCTAGTACCGCAATAGCCTCGCCGTGCCGGGATTCAACACTATACACAAAAGAGGAATTATGGCGGCCGCGCACTTGAACAAACCAGCAATCACCTCTGCCAACTATCAACACCTGCGCTCTTGGCAGTGGTGATCCTTCTTTCTGAAATTAATAGACGTTAATAGGTAGCTGCTTCGTCATGTTTCGTTTGCGTCTACTCTAGTGTCATCCTTAGCGTGCTTCATCATCAGTTTTCTAGCCTCAAATGGTACAACACTGGGGTCTGTTTCATCTTCATCAATTACTAGTACTTTTACTTCATCTGATATTGTCACTGAAGAAGCTCCTTGACGCCATCATGTGTAGTCAACAGATCTTCACTTCGCGCCACCATTTTTCTTCTTGGAAGACTTGGTCGACGAGGTATTATCAGACCCAGCACCCTTCTTCGTCTCACCGTCCGCCCCTGGCCCTGCAGCCCCGTTGGCTTTCTTCTTCCCAGCATCTTCGCGTCCCTCTTCACCGTTTTTCATCTTGCTCGTCCCATCATACCCGGCTCCTCCATTCGCCGCTTTCTTCCCGTTCTTCCCCCCGGCGCCACTACCACTGGCGCTTGTTTTCTGGGACGACGCAGCACTATCCCCCACAGCCTTCGCGGTCTTTGCCCCAGCAGAACCGGTGGACGACGTACTGGCACTGCCAGGCACCCCAGCGGTGGAGGCTTGGAACATTTGAAGTTCTTCTGCAGAAAACGACGCTAACAGCTCCTCTTCCGGGTTACTATCCTGCTCGTTTTGCTGCTTGTTACCCTTTTTCGTTTTGATGCTCGTGGTCCCTGAAGAGGCTGAAGATGCACCAGCACTTCCTGCGGACCGCTTATTTCCGTCGCCATTAGCTGCGCCAGTTTCTCCTGCTGTTGCTCCCGCCTTCCCATCGGAGTCGGACGTTGATGCGCTACTGCCGCCGTTGCGGTTCATTTTACCTTCGCTCTTTCTGTTGTTTTTCGACGTACCGTTATCTTTCTTCTTGGAACTATTACCAGCACCTCCTGCAGCTGCCCCTGAATTGTCACTGCTGGCGTCGACGCTCCCGTGGTTTTTATTCGAATTCCCTTGTTGGTTCTTGTTTTTCGAGGACGAAGAACCTTTATTTTTCTTACCCCGTTTATTGTTGTTCGGAAGATTCTTGTCGTCTAGGCTCCTCTTGCTGCCTCCGGTCGTCTCAGCAGCTTGCTCTTCCCGCAATTTCCGCAAAACGTCACTAACGTCCTCCTCTTCCACCACCTCGCCAAGCCTCCTCGCCTCGTTCTCAGCCTCTAACTGCGCCATTAGCGCTTCGCTTCGCTTCTATGCAATACAAATTTCCCGCACATGTACAAGATGCATCACAAAGTTCAAGCCCAATTCAGAGTGTCATGCTAAAGTAGGATCGAAACCCAAATTTGTCATGCGGAGCCCGCATTTGTACGTCGTGTACAGGAAATTTCCTGTGGATAGCTTCCTGCGTGCTGCGATGGACTCCTTCTCGGACTCGGGGGTACTTCTTGAAGAGCGCTTAGGGTCGTTTGGAGTTTCACTTTCATCTGCATTCTTTGCAGCACCACGAAGACCATCATCTTCGCCGGACGCCGTGTCGACATCTTTGTCACGATCCTGAGAACGACTACGTTTGTTCTTGTCTGCGGAAGATGCTCTTGAAGTAGATTTTGCAGATTTTCCTTTCACAACCTCCTCACCACTGTCGTTTGCGCCGTCAGCCTGTTCTTCCACCTCCTCGTCGAGATTGTCAGTTTCGGTCTTCACCTGCTTCCGATCTTTCTTCCCGCGTCGGCGCTTGGAAGATTTTGATTTTCTTGTACTTGTTTTAGCGTGGAGGCCCCCTTCATCAGCTGCAATAGGTGGAGTCGTGCTGTCTGTTGTCTCGTCTTCGGATTCCTCTGATTTATTGTCCTTCATCTTGTCCTCTTTGATGTCCCGCGTAATTCTATTACCACCAGCTTCGGCCTCTTCATGTTCTTCGGTTGATGTGCCAGGAGCTTCAGCATCCGCTTCCGCTTTGATACTTTCGTCTTCTAAAACAGTATCGTCCTGTAGTTCGCCATCCAAGTTGTAATCCGCCCCTTCCTTCTGAATCTCGCCAAACACCTATAACAGTGCACAACTCCCCCTCCCCCTGATTTGTATAGCATGGGCGGCAATCGTACAAGCATCAGCAAGAATGCCGGTTTTGCATGACAAATTTGCACTGGAGTAGAGTGCTATTTGGGCTACCAAAACTTGTCATGCAAACAGTGCTAAGAACCAAGGCGTAAATCTTTAGGCACTTTGCATGATAAATGAGGGGGAGGGGGAGTTGTGCATTTTCATAACAGCTCCACTTCCTTCTCCTCCTTCTTCTTTTTTACAAATTCCTGCTCTTTCTCCTGAACGGTCTTCACGTTGCTGACAAATTTGTCGTATTTGGTGTAAAGCGTTGGCACCGCTTATCAACTGTAAAAATGTCTGGGAGGTCTGGAAGATTGTCATGCAGGTTTTCTATGACTCATGAGGTCTGGAATGCAGCGCCTAGCATGACAAACTCTGTGGGACCTCTAGCATGCCTATCCTGCATGAGAAAATCCCTCTCAACTTGGTAAAAAACGACGGCTGTTGGTAATCACGCAACACAGATTTCTTGCATGATTCAGCTTTAGCATGACAAGATCCATCCTCCCCGACCCAGACATTTTTGCATTTGATACTGCTTCCTCGGTTTCCTTCAGCATGCCCTCGTTGTAGTAGACCGCGAGCATCAAATTGTCGTACAAATCTTGATTCTCCGTCAATAGCGCCGCGTCATTGATCAGTTTGAGCAATTGCACCTGCAGAATGATCTCCGCCTCCCGGACCTTCGCGGTTGGGCGCTTCGCGACGTAGTCCGACGCGAATTTCATGCGGATTTTCTTGATATGCAAGAATGCAAACGCATCGTACTAGTAAAAATCGCATGACAAATTTGCTGAGCATGAGAAATGAAATTTGCCTTGTGGATTTGGCTTGAGAAGTAAATTTGTATTGCATGACTGCGATTAGTACGAGCACGATACTTTTGCAATGCATATTTGTTCGTGGTCAACAGCTCCTCCAGCTTCGGCTGCACCAGTTTCGCCGCTTTATCAAATGTAAAAATGTCTGGGTCTGGAATGTGATGCTGAATTTGGATTCCAAAAAAATCTGTATTGCATAAGCAGTAAATAAGGGAGTGTAATTTTTGCTACGCGGAGAGGGCATTTGTCATGCGGAATAGGCATCGCGAGGCCCTCAGAAAATCTGTGATGCTAGGGCATGCATCACAGACGTCATGGGTCATGCAAAACGTGCATGACAAGCCTGGCAATCTTTATCTTCCAGACCCAGACACTTTTACATTTGATACGCTTCCAGGATGATCGACCCCTCCAATTTCGGGTCCGAATTCGCCAACGACAAAGTCGGGTCAAAAGCGGCAAACTGGGCTAAGGACTGCGCGAGCGAGTTGGAGTTCTTGAAAGCCTGTTGTTTCAACAAATGCCGAAACTCGGCATTGTCAGATGAACTATTTTCAACATTTTTGTCCTTCTTCTTGATATTGCCACCTGCAATTTTATTCGCGGTGCTGGTCGTCGTCATCTTCTTCATCTTCTTCGAAACAGGTACAAAAAGACTCGCAATGAACTGGTTGAAAATTTTCTTCATCTTCTTCGGGTACAGCATGAACCGTAGGCACGCGCTCATCGTTTTGAATATCACGGGAAAAAGTGTTGGCGTTAACGGAATAACTTGTGATGCAGTAATGCACCACAAAACGTGCCCAAATTTATCATGCATAGCATGCATGCTAAGCAAAATTTGTGATGCATATTTGCAATCTATGAAAACCGTTAACGTTAACACTTTTTTGTTTGGTATTGAAACTCGTAGATTCATCGTCCTGGTTGACCAACGAGCTGTATGAACTTCAAATAAAGCAGCGCACTAGTATAAATAGCATCACAAATTCCCTCCGCATTAAAAATGGGATCTGTAATGCTGTTTTACCTTAGGAAGATGATTTGTCATGCATGCTTGCAATTAGTACGAGTGCAATGCTTTTGCAGTTCATAAGCTGTAGAGCGGCTCAGGATCATTTTGTTGAGGATTTGGATTTTGCAAATGTGGTGGTCTAGACGACGACGACGAAATATGTTGAGCAGCACCACTACCTCGATTGTAGTTGTTATCGTTGTTGTAATTATTCAGCTTCGAATTCTTTTCCTGTTCCGCTTCCGCCCGGCTGCTGCGGATCGCTTGCGCGAGCGCTGCGGTGTAGAAGGCCCGAATATCGTGGTCACGGTAGCCATGGAAGTCCCGGTAGCTGCTGAGAGGGGGATTCGCCACGTGCTTGGTGTTGAACGTTTCTAAGGAGCCCGTCAAGTGGAAGCCCCAGGTTTTCGTCTGCTGGTTGTAATTGCAGGTTTCTTCGAGGAAAAACTTGTAAAAGGTGTTGTAGAAGTCCTGGTTTTGCTGGATAAACTGCGTCGCGTCCTCAAGATGTTGTTGTTCTATCCCACGAAAAAAGTGTTACAGTTACACATTTGTAGTGAAATCAGCAACGCAAATTTCTCTGCATGAGTGAGAAAACTTGTAATGCAGAAATCCTACGGGAAAACACCTATGAAACGAGGCTTGTATGCATATCCGGCATGACAGAGCTTGTCTGTCTTGCTTGGCCTGCAACAGCACCATGTGTAACTGTCACACTTTTTTCTTGCGATATCTTCAGCAGTGTTTTTATTTGCCCCACTCAGGCTGTTCTTTTCACTGGAGGTTGTGTCGTTCGAAGACGTTGTGCCGTTCGAGGTCACCGTTCTACTTGCGCCGTCCGGGCCCCCGCTGGACGAATCGTCTCCAGCAACATCCTGAATACCTTCGACGGCATCCGCTCCTTCACTGGATGTCTTGTTCAAGAACGACGAATCATCGTCAGAAGTGCTATTCTTCACCGACCCACTTCCATCTTCACGACCCGACACGGCTCTACCACTTGCACCACGCAACATTTTTGAGTACAGATAATCCTCTGTGGGAATGAAGTTTACCGTGCTCATGTTGTTCGGCAAGGGCAGCTGCACGAACATCCGGTGCTTCTTGGTGAACCACACCCCGTAAAAGCACAAAGCACTCGCGTCGGTCAAGTCCGGGGCGTGGGTGAAGATTTCTTCCCCCGTCTGCAGCGTGGTGTGCACATTCGGGTAGTGGTAGTTGTGGTTCATCCGGCTGTAAAGTGGGGATGACGCGTACGTGTTCTGGGTGATTTTGGAGCCGACTACGAGGCTGTAGTAGCCCTTGTTGTTGTCATCGGACGTCGACATAATTTTCGTGACCGCGACATTCCCCTGTAAATTCGGGCGGATGAAAATGGTCGCCGGGAGGAAAACGCGCTTTTTCTTCTTCGGTTTATTATTCACCGCTCGGAAAAACTTTTTCTGGTACAAATTTAGCTCCTGTCGGTCGATTTTTGTCGCGGGCTTTTTATTTCCACCTAAACTCGTGGTTGTCGTGACGGTATCAGAAGTCGAAGAAGTAGTTGCGTCTTTGCTGTCTCCCGCCGTAGATGACGAAGTAGAATCTTTCTCCTTTTCCTTGTTTTTCTTGTCCTTTTTCTTCTTCTTATCCTTCTTTTTCTTCGATTTCTTATCCTTGGATTTGTTTTTGGACGATTTCTTATCTGTGGAAGAGCTGCTGCTGTCTTCGTCTTTATTGTCTTTCTTGCCGCTTGCGGTTTCAGTTGTTACACCGCCGGCTGCAGTTCCACCGGCGCCGGTGGTGCTGTCATGCCCGTCAGGCCCTTCTGTCATGGTTTCATCGTTATGTTCAAGTGGCTTTGGCGGTCGGTAGTAGATTTTCTGCAACCCTTGCAAGAAGTCGTAGTCGTCCGAGCCGTCATCTAGTTCCACCACCTCGACAGAGTGTGCTTTCCACAGCAGATACGCCCAGCGAATATGGTCCATCGTCAAGTTTCGGTACTCGTCAAACAAATGCAATCCACCAAGCACTATGCATTGCAAACGTGTCGCACTGCTACTGGTAAGCACCAATTGCAATTGCACAAGTGCATGACAAATCCCTTTTATTCCAAGCTCAAGCAGCATGACAAATTACATAACATTTGTCTTGCTGACCTAATTTGTATTGCAGTTTTTTACCACCACCAGTACGCTAGTACTTTTGCAATTCATAAGCACCTCGTCCGTTACCCGCAAGGCCTCGTTTTGCCAGTTCTCCATGCTGGTGCCCTTCGCAATGATTTTAAACTCCTCCCGGTCGATCGCGAAAATGCCCCGGGTCCGGTGCCAATCGAGCTTTGGCAGGATGGGAAGCAGAGTGTCCCGCATCTTTTCGGCGTACTGGCTGTAGTCGTGCTTGGCTGGACCCTGTTGTTCGGAAGATTTTTCCTCAACCTGATCCGTGGACGACGACGACGAAGATCCGTCTGCGGCGGTGCTGGTTGAGTCCAGTTTTTTGCTGGTGCTCTCGAGTATCCTGACTAAAAACGTCCCCACACGACCAGAGTCCAGATGGGAAAACTGCTAGACAAACCAGCAAGCTTTGGTTGTTTCGCTAGACAAGTCAGCTTGATGTCCTCGTAGCGTCAACCTGTTCTTTAGCTAGTTCAGCAGCATCACAGATCTAGCTTATGATGCTGATTCTAGCATCACCAATCCCACAAAGCGGCTAGAAAATGCTTCTTATGGGGCTCCGCATGAGAAACTTTTTTGGGATGCAGATTTGCACGACAGCCATGGGGTAGGGACGTAGTTTTTACTCAGAATATCGGTTTGACGATTATGTTGCGCCACCGCATTCGGCGCCCAAAACGTGGCGGCCAACTGCGCAATCGCCGCGTGTTCGTCGGAGTTTATAACCCGCTCAGGTGTTAGAATCTCAAACGTTACAATAGAATATGGAAATCTGTGATGCAAGAGTGCATGATGCAGCAAACTCTCATAGGATTGCGCATGACAAGTTCCGCAGCCCCAAGAAACCCCACTACAATCTGGCGAAATTTGTATTGCAAAAGGTGGAACGCTGTGCGAGTCTGTCATGCTCATCATGCAACACAAATTCCAGATTCTATTGTAACGTTTGAGGTTGTAACATTTGAGCAAGTCATAGAGTTGAATTTGAAATTCTGGAAAAACGAATCGTCTCCGTTTTGCTCCCCGGAAATGGCGAACTCCGCGGGGATATCAAGAGGAAAGATCCCCCCTCCCCATATCAAAACGAAACTTCTGATGCTGGATCTGTGTACACAAATCCGCGCTGTCTTGCTGGAGAGCACTGCAGGCCCGCGCCAAGTGTGAGCAGAGAGGTTTTGGCCTAGGCGCTTAGCTTGAAAAACATCCACGCTTTAGGCCCCGCAGCATGACAAACCGCCTGCATAATGCGGCGGAGCCTGCAAAGTTGCCTTCTTGCAAGACAGACTCGATCTGTGACCACAAACCAGCATCACAAATTTTCAAAAATATACCGTTTGAGTATGGGGAGGGGGGATTTTTCCTTTTGATATGGGACCTCCAGTAGCGATCCAATCACCGTGCCGTTTTTCACCCCGAGCCCGAAGTTTCCGTTTTCAAAATCCAAAACTGTCACATCATAGTTGAACTGCTTTAAAACTTCCAGTCGCGCTTCCTGCTCTTTCTCGTACTCGCTGACCGGCACAGCCGAGCCCCACCAGGAAGAAGAACTAGTTGATGCCGCGGCCGCTTTTTTACTCGCTTCGTCGTCTACTTCGGCGGCATTTCCCTTTCTCCCCGCGGAAGAGGAGGTGACTTGTACCAAATTCAACCGCTTTTTCATCTCTTCTCGCCGTGAAGCAGATGATACTGCAGTTGTGCCAGCATCTGGTCCTAATTTTGCATTATCACCAATGTTCTTGCTGTCCTGCTCTAGAAATTTGATTAGCTCCGGGTGTGTTTTCATTGGGTCGGGGAACCGCACGAGTTGGTTTTTCAAAGACTCTTTCCACACCTTCCCGGCCATCAAACCCCGCGCCGAAAGCGTATGAAAGCCTCAGAATGCAAATCCTCAACGTGGAAATAATTTGTGATGCATGAAATGCGACGCAAAAAAGACTGTATTGCAGAGGATGCAATGAAAGCCGACTATTGTCGTCCTACGGGTTAAGAATTGGAGTGCTGATTAGCACGAGAGAAGTGCACCCCTTTGCCTAACTACTAGCATGACAGACACGTTTTGAGTGCCCGGGAAATTTGTCATGCGCCGACTACAAATGGCGCTTCAACTGAAGTCGTTTTTTTGCATTACAAATTATTTCCACTTTGAGGATTTCCAAACTGAGGCTTTCATACAGCGCTTCCTCCGCGGAGGCTGCGTCTCCTCCAGAGGACGAGGAGCCGCTTGCCCCACTCCTGCCGCCGCCGTAGCTGGACGAAGTCGACCCGCCGCCGGGGGAGTAAAAGAGGGCCGTGTCGTGATCCATCGACACATAGAAGAGGACCACGAGGGAGGCGAGAAACCCCCAGATTACCTGCATCAAGGTGATCATCTTCTTGATCTATGTTTGTTTCTGTCGGTGAGTATGAGGTAGACGGTGAATTATTTGTTCGCGTTTTTCTATGGTTTGTTGTTGTTCTCCTAAACTAATTTTTTTTTTCAGAGTGGACGTCGTGATGTAACAATGCTCTGATTTTCTTTTTCATTTTCGATCTGTTCAAGCAGATTGCTAAAACAGTAGTACCCGCCTTTTCGGCGTAGTTGGTACGGCGGGTGGTTGCCTAGTAACTACTCAAGTTCATCTCTATAACTACTTCTATAAAGTGCATCAGAATCAATTTCATCATGTTCATTACAGAATCTCATGTGAAAAGCGAACTTCGGAAAGAGGTTGTTCAGAACTCACGTTAAACAGGGTAGTCGTGGGTATGTTCTAGGCTAATGTCGGCGCACTACTACAACTTAGAAGATCATCTTATCGTGTTTCGCTTGTTGATGGGCCGCTGCAAAGTCAAACTCAAACTTGCTGTCAAGTGGCATACCTGTAATATCGTCACACCGTAGCTCCTACTGCTGATAGGCAATTGGAAAGTGAATACTTATTACGCGTGCCTCTCGGCCAGGATCAGGAACTTCGTCGAGTCATTTATCATTCTCAAACATGACACCAGACGTTTTCTGTGGCCGTGCTGTCAGGAGGTTCATCTTCGTCTTTTCGTGCAAAGATCACAGGAACACATCAAAGAAGGCCAATCTACAACAGAGGTAGAGAATGGCTCGATGCGGCTCTGCGTGGATATGCGCAACCGTCTGTGGTTGTTTGTGGCACCGAAGTTGCAACGAAATACAGTGAAGCGCGAAGACTCTACTTGTTGTTGTAAGTCTGTTAGTATTCCTACGCTGGTAACTGTTCATTGTAAAAACACTATCGACGAATAGTGTCATTTGATCAACGGTAGAATAGTTTACAATGAGTTCGATACGATGCATTTTGTGATGCTCTAGAAGTACTAACCTCAGCTAGGCCTCCTGGTCTAAAAGGTTTGTCCTGTAGTCTCTGAAGAGGTACTTGATATTAAACCGCGTCAACCTGCGAATCTGGCAATAGAGGCGGGCAATCTGTAGTTCATAACCGACTGAGCTGAAACTCCGCTAGGAAACAATAGCGATCGCTAGATTTGTTCGTAGAAGGCTTAGCTGGTCTATGTTGTATACGTTTTTGATGTTGTGTTAGCACAGTCTGGTACTAACCTCGTAAGTAGGTTTATTGAAACATATAGATAAATTGCTTTTCATCTGATTCCTACATTCTGACACAATTTAACTGTTGTAAATTCTGAATCGACAATGATGTATCTCGAGTCTGCTGATCTGCTGTAATCTGCTCTGCGTAAACTATAAGGTAAAATCTGGTATAATGACACAGTTCGTTCATAAAACTATTGCTTGCTCTCTCAGCCTCGCTACTGCGATGAGGCTGAGGGTGAGGGCTGCTATCTGAGGTAAGAGTTTATTAGGTTTCTCTTGGTCTGTTGCTGTTGTTCAGTGTAAGTTTTAGTCTAAAATTGGATTTGTCAAATTCTGAGAAGCACACTAGCATAACATATAATTGTTTTTCGATAAATTACAGGTCTGATAAAGAGAAACTGTTTATACGTTACAGTTACTGTCTCCGCGTTAAAAACCTGATCTGCCGGTCTGATGCTGTAAACGTATCGAGTTTGGTGTTTCTGTTTCATTGATAGTGCTGTTCTGGTCGTGAACGGTTTGTGATGCAAGAAACGCATTTCTTGCCCTTCACTTCCGCGTGTTATTCATCCGGGCCTTCTGCTGCTCCAAGCTCATGGAAGCACCCTTCGGAGCGCGCGAGTTGCTGTTTTTTTGTTTACGGTAGATTTTCATTGTTGCACCACACATTCGGATCGATGTTGAAGTACCGAATCGCAATCGGCCTGGTGGTCATGCACACGGTCGTGCATAAAAACAAGTAAAACATGGGCGAACTGCGTTACTGCACGTTACGCATGACAAACTACGCTATACCGTGTGCTGAATCCGGCCCGGGAAGACGTGTCGCTGAAGTTATCCGGCACATCTGGACCCAGAAGCTGTGCAGCGGAAGCGCCAACTGAGTTATTTTCATGGTTTTGTAGTTTTAATTCATACCATGGCTATAGCAACTTATGCCGAGGATGACAAACGCGATCACAGAACAAGCTGCAATCTGCTGCATGATCGAAAGAGTTGATGTCACTACTACAAGAAGGAGCTATTCTATACGAAATCAATGACATTATTCACCTGCGCTCTGCGGTGCCATGGTGTGGTTCTCAATGGCCTTCCAGATGTTCTTCATGCGCACCTCGCGGCCCCAGGAGTCGGTGAGCAATTTTTTCTCGAAGTCCTTTGCGGCCTGCTCATTCTTCGTCTGGACGAGCTGTGATAAGGTTTTGCATCACGATCACAGATTTTTGTCTTATTAAAAACTGAAATTCATCATCTTGATCTTCACATAGCAGTAATGCATCACGCAACACGTCGCAGATGCGAATCATGCATCATAAGCTCGTCACAGAGGCAGATGGGATGCGAATTATGCATCACAAAATAAGTAAATTTCTATACCACTTCGTTCTTGTTCGCGACTATCTGCGAGTACTCCAGTTCCCGCTCCTTATTCCTCTCCAAGGTCTTCAATGCGTTCATTGTCCTCACTTGCAGGGTATGCATTTTTACACACATCGATTTGGATCTCCAGAATATGTCTTGACTGACCAGCAACTACAGTGTGTGGTCCACCTCCCTTGTGATGCAATCATGCGCACTACGCACGAGTAGACAAAAGCGTAGTTGTTCTACAGACTTCTCATGTCGACTCAACAGTAATAAATGATCACTCGTCTTCAACATTGAGCATCAAAAATTTTCTCCGTCCTGACCCAGGTCGATATTTGCAATGGATACAGGGACAGATCGTCACGGTACTTCCCGGCACGCTCCTTCATAAGCTGATGTGGTTGACAGTTTATTTTCATATTTCATTGATTGAACAAGATGCAAAACCTCGCATGACGAAGTTTCGGCGTGGGTTGATGTTTTTACCATGAACAATAGCAAAAAAGAACATGACCCCAATCTTGTTCTATCATAGCCTATACTGCTCTCAATCCCGCGTCATCGGGTTCGGTGAACTGCGGAAATTCGTGCGCGCTAGCCCCGTGGATCCAGTTTTGGCGGTCATGACCCCGCTTCACGCGGTTCCACTCCATTTGTTGCTGGATAAAATCCTGGTTTTCCGCGGCCAGCGCTCGCTTGCGGTCCATGTCGTCACGCTCCTGTTTCAGACACCTGTCCAAGTGCTCTTCCCACTGCCGTCGGTCCTGATTTTTCGTTTAGCAGGAGTTGCATTACAAATCCTTTTGCTAAGGTAAAAAAATCCGCATTAGAAATTTTATTTCTCATGCTGAGAAAGTTTCAGTTTGTAAATGCATTTATACGAGTACGATACTTTTGCAGTTCATAAGAACTTCTATACCGCAATAGCTTCGCTCGCCCTGATCTCCATCTCGGTCAAATATCGGTCCATCGCCTCCCTGTGCGCTTTTTCCTGTTTCACCGTTGGTCCCTTGTATTTTGCTATGCATTGCAAATATGTCTGGGTCTGGAAGCTTGTGTTGCTGAGATTTGCATTGCAGACTGGCTGCTTGTACGGCATAACAGCATGAGAAGTTTTCCTCAGCTTATTGCGGATTCACTCGAGTTTAAGAGCATTACAAACTCCCATGCTGGATGATCCAGCACGACAAAAAAGGTGGCCAATTGATGTATAAATGCATAACAGATTTTCTTGCCCTTCAGATCTGGCATCACAAATCCAGAACCAGACATTTTTGCATTTGATATTTGCCGGGTCGTACAGACTGTGCTCCGACACCTGCGACAAGTCTGACTCCGCGTAGCCGTAGTCTGCCTCGTTGTAGACGTCAGACGCCGGTAATTGGATCGGGGCGCTTCCTTGTGGTGCCTGCATCTCGCTGGGTGATGGCCCGGCGAAGGGGATGTGTTCGGACTCCGCCTCGAGCGCTTCTCTCTCCTTTATGCATTGCAAATATGTAGTCTGGGTCTGGAAACTTGTGATGCAAATCTACGAATTGTGGGCGCACTGCAATATGGAGCCCAGCATGACAAGTTTCTGCGCTGCTGCGTGTTTTGTTCTTCGCATGACAAACTGCGCTTTTGCATGACAGGCAAGAGGCCCTTTTCCTACTCATGCATCACAGATTCAAGAGTCATGCCAGACAAGCATGACAAACTTGCATTCTACTTCCAGATTGAGACATATTTGCAGCATTTGATATCCTTTATCAAACCCGCACCCGCCTCGGGGACCGATTCGAGGTTGGACTGGTCTCGCACTTTCGTTCCCTTCAGTCGGAGCTTCAGCGCCTCTGCTGAGGGTGCCTGGAAGGTTCTGCTCGGTGCGTAGGATGAGACGGCGTGGGCGGACTCTGCCGGAGCGGCGAGACCTGTAATAAAGAGAGATTTTCTTGATATTTGTGTGTTAACTACATGCAAAACGTATCAATACATGAGCATGACCACGTCCACGCTACCTAATGGTGCTCGTCACAACATCAGACAGAAGAGATCGCAAGTTGTCCTCACCCAACATACATCATGGTGAAATAAAACATTAGCATCATCTAAATGTTGATAGTACCTTCCTTTGCGTACAGTTCGGACTTGAAGACAAAACCCGTTTTTCTCTCCAGAGAATGGAACTTGCCGTGCTCAAAGTCGATTTCCACCTTCTTCCCGGTTGCAACCGCCTCCCCGATTGCCTGGATGATGTTATCCAGGAAAAAAAGATTGTTAGTGAGAGTTTGTGATGCAGCGCAAGAACACGTAAGGCGGAGGTTGTGTCTGTCATGCTGGACATGCATTACAGGACCCATTCAAGCGAGTTTTGTCATGCTATCTGCGCATGACAAGTATCTGCTCTCGTGCCAGACAGATTTGTAATGCTGTTCCGCCAATCTAAGTTTACACCTACAATCTTTTTTTCTTGGATAGATGTACCGCAGGCCGCAGTAGACGTTGTCCTTGTTCAGACAGTTCGAAAACTTTATCGCAAGAAAATAGAACTGTTTCACATTCACTGTGATGATTTTGCCAGGTCTGCATCACAAGTTTGCCACACATGCACAGAAAATTTGCCATGCGCGCCCCCCATCATCAAGGGAAAACACGACTAAAAATCCGACGTAGTTTTGCGCCAGGTGTAGCACTAGCAAGACAAACACTGTCTATGCTTCATTCTCTGCATCTTCACAAGTTCACAATGAAAAAGATTCTTCTTGCGATAAACTTGATTGCCGCTTTACTGAAGTTGAACTCCTCGTACGCGCACTGGTCTTTTTCGTCGATCTTAGACGCGGATTTTTTGTTGTCCACCGCGAAGGTCTGGATGAAGCTCTCCGCGAGTTGGAAAAAGGGTCTCAGTTTCACGCCGTTCTTCGTTCTCTCCTTGTAATACCCAATTTTGCAGAAATTGGTGATGTTGAGCCCCTTCTTCTGGTCCAAGCAAAAGGCGATGTACCTGATAAAGTCGGATTTGAAATTTGCGTGATTCAATAATCTCAATTGCATCTTGATCTTGTCTTGCAAGACATACATTGTAATACGATGTCCCGCATTGGGATTGGCACTCGCACTCTTGGTGCTGTCGCTGTGCATGACAATGAACCAGCAGACTCTAAAAACATATCATTATCATACCTGTTCACGCAGTCCCATATTTCCAGGTACTCTCCGGATGGGTGGGGAAAGTTGTTGACGTCTTTTAGCAATCTCCCACGCTTCTTGACGACGTCTTCCAGGCAGTCTATCAATTTGTAGACCGACATGTTGATGACTTCTTTTTTTTTTTTTCGCTCGTAGTAGTACAGTGAGAGTTTTCTACTGTTTCTGTTTGATACAAAATAAATGCGAAAAAAACAAAAAGTTTACTCTCTCGTCCTCACCCCTAGAGGTTGTTATTGATGTGACTTGTTAGAAAAATGATCTGAGAACTCAAATCGGAAGATGTAGCTAAAGGCGACGTTGTTCACACCCGCGGTGGTAAACTCTCATCTACGTAGTACAACAAGAATAGACGAAAATGTCGTAGTAATTCCCCTCCCGGTTGCGTAAACCTAAGTTCGTCTACCAAGGTTGACCATACGAGAAAGTCATAGTAGATAAAGACACAAGGATTTCGATTCTGTCCCCGAACGACGAAGAGTGAGTGTGCTTCTCCTCTCTCAACGTAATGCCATGTAAATGCATTTTTCCCTCACGAAGATAGCCACTAACTTCTATCAGGAGAAGAGCAGGAGCAGGACCAGGAGAACAAGAAGTCGCTCGATTTTCCCTTCATCTTGCCAACACGACTACAGAACACCATCTGCTCAAGCACGGTGTTTGGTCTGCCTCTTCATCACAGCAGCAGTACTACTGCAGATCGAAATCGCTGATTATCACTTCGAATCTTCTACCTAGTACTGTATTCTCTGTTGACGCGCGATTTGAGCGCTCTTCAAAATTGTGGTTCATTTGGACGACGACGAAATGCAGGACGACGAAGTTTAGTTTGCTTCACATTTTTTGTCAAAAAATCAAGCGTCAAAAAAAGAATAAAGCGAGGTCTTCAGTGCTCTTCACTATGTTTCCATCGGAGGTCCTTTATTTGGTCTAGTTTCGCGGGTGCTACTCTTTTATGCTGTGCAAAAGTATCGTACTAGTATAAATTGCATTACAAATTCACTTAGCATTACAAATTAAATTTGTAATGCGGATTTGCCTTAAAAGAGAGATTTGTAATGCATAACCGCAATCAGTACGAGTACGATACTTTTGCAGTTCATATCTTTGTCTTACTCCCCTCCCCCCATCGTCCCAGCCGCGTCTGCTTCTCGCATCAACATCGCTAACCGCGAATTGCTGTTACTGCCACTCGGCCTTGTTCCGTGATCGTTCCCCGACCCTACAGCTTCCCGTGGTCCCAACAACTCCGCCGGCGTGCCACTCTCGACCAATTTCCCGTCGTGGAAGATCAGCACCTTGTCGAACTGCCGCACGAAATGCAAGCGGTGCATGATCCACAACACGGTTGTTTCCTTTTATCCTGAGCAAAAACGTTCCCACCCCAGATTCAACATGGGGATCTCGCAACAGAAATCGAGAAGTGTTGGGAGTCAAGCATGACAAGTTCCTGTCTGTATTGTAGGGCAGTTTAGCAAGTACAGCCGCAACACAAATCCATCTATTCATCCTGTTTACAGCATGACAAAGTCCAAAACACGATTGGAAAAGGAAATGCCTCTCATGGGGATGCGCATTACAACTCTTCCTGTAACTGCAAATCTGCATGACAACTATGGGGTGGGGATGTTTTTACTCAGGATACCTTTCCCAATTTGTTCAGGATCACGTCGTGGATTTTCTCCTCTATCCCACGGAGAAACTTTTTCACTGTGATGAATTTCATTTTGCAAGATCTGCATCACAAGTTTGATACATATGATACTGAAAATTTGTCATGCGGATTTCCGAGGGGAAAACACACTTAAAAATCCAATGTCTTGCAGGTGTAGCAAGACAAATAGTTCTGTGATCCATTTTCTGCATCACAAGTTCACAGTCAAACAGCTTCTTCTTGCGATATCGTCCGACTTCAAATCGATGTTCGCGGTCGCCTCGTCGCACAGCAGTAACTCCGGATCGTCGATCAAAGCCCGGGCCACCGCGAAGAGCTGCTTTTTATCAGCTGCAAAAGTGTCGGGGTCAGGAAGAGTCGAGCTTGTCATGCATATTTTGCATGACCCGTGAGGTCTGTCATGCTTGTGGTAGCATCACAGATTTTTTGAGAACTTCTTGATGCTAATTACGCAAGAGAAATGCCCTCTCCGCGTGCCAAGAGCTGACTCCTCTTACTGCTCATGCAACGCGGATATTTTTAGAATTCGCAGACTGCATTACAAGTTCCACTCTTCCAGACCCAGACATATTTGCACTCCATACTTTTCCCCCACGGAAAAATCGTCGTTAAATTCCGAATCGAGTTGGTAAGGGAGGGACTGAACTCTTTGTTTCAAATTCACTATGTCCAGAATCCGCCAGATTTTACTGTCGTACGAATTGGTGTCAGAAGCTACAGCTGCTACTCGTGCACCGAGCGGACTTACTGAAGATGTTGTTGTAGCCTCTGTTGCACCACCAGCGCCTTTAGAAGTCGCGGACCTTAAATTTTCCCGAATCGTCCCGCTGATCAGATTTGAGTCCTGACTCACCATCCGGAACATTTTTTTTCGCCACAGTAACGGATTCGTCTCCGCTAAGCTCAAATTTCCGATCAGAATTTCCGACCCGGGTTGGGATTTGTACAAGCCCGATAAAGCGTTAAACAAGCTCGACTTTCCCGAGCCACTTCTCCCGATGATCGCCACTTTTTCGCCCTTCTGGATCTGAAAATTCACGTTTTCCAGAACCGGGTTCTTGTGCAACCGGTACCGGAAGGACAGATTCCGCACCTCCAACGCAACAGCTTCGGGTAATATCGAAGAAGCCCTCCGACGCGTCATTTTCTGACTGGAAGCGGGGGATTTGGAATTTCTACCACGGGTACTAGATGGTAGTTCATATTGCTGGGAGGTCCTCGTCGTCGTTTCTTTGCTAGGATGACCAAGGGAAGAACTCGCTCGGCTGATGGAGCGAGATTGGGAAGGAGGTGTTGATTGAGAATTTTTCGAGGAGGAAGAAGCGGAAACGTAGTCGGAGTTGGTCGCGCTGTTCAGCGATTGCTTTGTCCGGCTTGGTTCTGTTGTAACAAGCATGGGCGAGATGGATATCCCGAGAAAAAACTGCTTCACTTTGATGAGCATTTTGCAAGATCTGCATCACAAGTTGTTACACATGACACTGAAAATCTGTCATGCGCGCTTTCCAAAGGAAAACACGCTTGAAAATCCAATGCCTTTCTGCAGATATCGCAACACAAGTGGTTCTGCGTTAAATTTTCTGCATCACAAGTTCACAGTGAAACACTTTTTTTCTTGCGATAATGGAGCAGGAAGAATCAATCTCCACCTCCTCGAAGCTCTTGTAGTTCTCCAGATCGGGGGAGATCGGGTGAGTCATGTCGTTGGAAACAACTTCAACCAACTCCTGATCCTGGCCCATTGCGAGGTTGTTGTTCTCAGGCGAAAATGAGGATGCATCCTGTAGTAGTCCGGCCGCGCCGGCCCGAGGACTGATTTTCCTACCATCCACCACGAGTGTTGGAGTGGTTGTCGTGCCGAGGTCGTCCTGGTCTCCAACTACATCTTCGCCCATTTGTAGTACCTCTTCTTCATGACTCAGCCCTTTAGAAGTATTCCAGTGCCCGTCCACCTCTACCGGCAAGCGGCAATACTCCGCGCACCGCTCCACGGAGACAAAATTCTGCTCCATTGTGGTCAATCCCATGCAGTAGTCCATCATCGCGCGTTGTAGAATTCCCGCGTAGAGTATCCTGGTGGAAGAAACGCCCTTCCCCATCCATCTTTTGCATGACAAACACTGCTTTTGGTGCATGTTTTGCATGACAAATTGGATGGGGATGGGTGCTTTAGTTTTTTCCTGGATATAGAGCAACACCAACCCGAAGTCTGCGGCTTTGAAAGTCCAGGCACCAGTATCAAAAGGAAAAATCCCCCCTCCCCATATTGAAAAGGTATGTTGCCGAAAATTTGTGTTGCTGATTTGAGGTCACAAATCGTCTCTGTGTTGCATGAAGGCAACTCCACAAGCTCCGCCGCATCCTACAGGCGGTTTGTCATGCTGTTTTAGCTATAGCGTAGATGTCTGTCATGCTAAGCGCCTAGGCCAAAATTTGTCTACTCAGGCTTAGTATCATGGGCCTGCAGTCCTCGTCAGCAAGACAAATCTGATCTGTGTGCGCAAATCCAGCATCAGAAACTTCGTTTGGATATGGGGAGGGGGGATTTTTCATTCTGATAACCAGATTGATGACCTCCACTCGAGTCGTTATTTCTCTGGAAGTAGAACAGCGAGCACCCGCAGAGCCCCGTCATCAGGTAAATCACGCAACCCCACATGGTGGTGAAGGACTGCGCCCACTTGCAGATCGCCTCGTTCCAGTATTTCCCCTTCGCCATCAGGGTGACTTTCTCAAGATTCGCCCGACAGAACGCCTCTTCTTTTTGAAAAGCCTGGATGGTTTCCAAGCCCTTCAAGCAATCTACGTACTCGGAGTAGACCGGAGAATGCGCGACGGACTCGATTCTTCGTGTGTCGCGAGCGGGGGACCGGATCTTCTTGAAGATAAACAGGTAGGGGACAGGGTATGAAGTTGCAGAGAGTGCACATGATGATCATCTCTCCCTCGTCTTGATGTTCCTCCGCATTTATGATCAACATCCATCGAAACCGCAGTTCCACTCGTTGCCTTTTGGATAACTTGGCACTTCTTGCATTACAGATTTCTCCAGGCGAAACAGTACATACTACAAATTTGTGACGCAGGAGAGGCTGCACTTTTGCTGCCGCTATTCAGTTCTTGTTGCCAACTTCATACAAATGCGTGGGAGAGCAGGCACAAGGACGACGAGTTGTGCACTACAACCAAACATCTCATACAACCAAAACCGGGAAGAGCACTAGCACCAGCGGGCAGTAGGTGAAGATCAGGATCAACTGCGTCAGCATGGTCATGGTGTTCTGGACCTGCTGCGTCAAAATCTGCGGCACGAAGTTGTCAATGTTTTGCACGTCCTGAAGGAAGCGGTTCAAAATCCTCCCTGTGGGCGTGATGTCGAAGAAGTTCAGCGGGGCTTTTAGAAGCGAATTCAGCATCTTGTCGTGCATGAACACCGACGCCCGGAGGCTGCAAATGGTGAGGGCGAGGGTCTGGGTCGCCGCGATGATAGACCCGGTAAAATTGATCAGGATGTAGATTAACAAGTACTCGAGTTGGTTGTTCACTGAAAGATCGGTGGTGGCGCCGGTCTCAATAGGAGATAATCTTCGCTGATCCAGCACGCTAGAAGGCGTGATCTCCGTCACTTCAGTTTCCGTCGCAGGAACATCATTGCCCAGAGGGTCTTTGAAGAGGGCAGAGCTGAAATCAAAATCCCAGAAGAAGTGGCCCCCGGCAACTACCGCGGCTGCACCAATGCGTGCAGGAGAAGCTAGGTGCTCATCACTGTTGAAAGTGTTAGTCATCGCCAGATCTTCCGCTGCTCCGACTTCTCTGTTTGTCCCGAGGACAACTTTAACCTTGTTCGAGTTGGCCCAAAAGGTCAAGAAGATGTTCGCTGCGACAGAGGACAACGCGGATAAGACCAGCAGGACGAAGAGAAAAAAGTTCGTCAGTTTCGTGCCGAAAGCGGACAAGTAAAACTTCAAGTCCTGAACCGGGATCGAACCGGAAAACCGGGTTTCCTCCTCACTCCCGAGGAGTAAATGGTTCACCCGCTGAATCAACCGGGAAGACACCCTGTGCCCGTCCATGGTTTGCAGTATCGAGGTGATTTGCTCCACGCATTCGGAGAGGAAAACTTTGTGCCTTTCCGCGTTTTGCTGCAGCTCGCGAGTGTGCAGTCTGGTTAGATACGTTTCGTTCAGATTCATTTCGTCGTCTTCCTCGTCCTCCTTGTTATCTGCAGTGGTTGTTCCAGACAGTGACTTCGAGCTCTTCTCCGAGGTGGTGCTGGTCTGACGGGTCGTGGGGCCGGCTGGTAGAAGTGTCGGCGAGGCAATTACTGGTGCAGTAGATACAGTTGGAGTTGTGGCGGAAGATGATGCTGCTGCTGTTGACCCCGCGTCGGCACTCGCACTGTTTATCCCAATTTTCCTCTTCCTCGCATCCTCTAACTCCAACAGAAATTTTGGCAGAGCGTTTTTCTTCGCCAGATCCCCGAAGTTCGCGATGGACGAGACTAAATTGTTGTCCACCATAAAGATCTGAGAAATTTCACTCCGCTGCAAGTACTGCAGCTGGTGGGTAATCAAAATCACTAATTTATTCCCCAGTTTCGCTTCCTGGCACAGCACGTTGTCGAAAAGAAATCTGCCCGTGTGCGCGTCCACGGCGGAAAGGACGTCATCCAAAAACAAGACGTCCGCATCCGAGTAAATCGCCCGCGCCAAGCCAACGCGCGCCTTCTGCCCCCCAGACAGCTGGACGCCGGACTCGCCGACGAGCGTCTGATCGTAGTCGGGAAACTGCTCCAAATCCGGCAGCAAACAGCACTTCTGCAGCACGTCCAAATATTTTTGTTCGTCGTACCGTGTGTGAAACAGGATGTTCTCGCGGATGCTGGCGTTTAGAAGAAACGGTTTTTGGGCGACGAAGGCACGCTTCAGGTGGGAAGGGATGAAAATTTCGGGTGGTCGTTTTGTTCTGACAGCTGTTGACGAGGCTGCTGACGTTGAAGACGTTGTTGCAGACGGCTCTCGTATTAATGCCGAGGATGAGGACGATGATGCTCCACTTCTTGTTCCAGTTCCTTCGTCCTCTGCACTACTCCTTCCAGCAAGAATTGCCTCAGCCGAAACTCGCCGGAGCCCCGGCTTCACCTGTGCCAAGCAGGAAAGCAGTGTGGATTTTCCAGAACCCACAGGACCGCAGAAGGCAATAAGTTCGGACTTTTCGAATTGCAGGTTGTCTGGAATGGTCAGGTGGAAAGACGGTGCTGTTGGACTCTGCTGTGCAGTTGTAATCTGATCAACATAGCCGCAAGTGAAGCCCGCAGGACACTCCAGGGCAACATTGGAAGTAGATGTTGCATAGCCACAAGCTAGACTCCTTTCACTCGCGCTAATTTCTTGGTTCGTCTTCCAAGTCGTGTGCTGGCCTGATGTTGATTTCCTCGGCAAAGCAGAGCCACTTTGGTCCACCAAGTTGCTTGGAAAGTTATTTGCGCCATTCCTCATGTCCGCCACGGTAACTACGTCATCAACAGAGATGTTGACAGCACCAGTCTGGTCTTGGTCTTGCTCCTGATTATACCAGTGCGACAGCAAATCGGGCTTGGATTGGTTCTTCACGGATTCCAGGTCACTCTCCGAAACCAGAGAGTGCTGGGCGGTTAGCGTCGTTGGTGTAGACTCAGTGGACGAGTAAATGGACTTGGTTATTTGCTCTGTGAAGGATTTGTGTCGGGCGCGGATGTCGATGTCCACCTCGGATTCACCCATTTCATCGTTTCTTGCCGTGGCAACCGAAATATCAGACGGCGCAGGAGGTGCATTCACATTCAACAACGGCACTTTGCGGCTGTCGTGTGAAAAACCTGTGCTGCTGGTCGTCGTGCCGAAATCTTCACCGTGTGAGTGTTGAAGTTGGTCCTCATACGAAGAACCATCTGCATCCAACAGGTAAAAAAGCTCATCCTCATCTCTATACAGGCTCCTGCTACCCTGTTCACCGCTCGTATTTTTCCCGCGACCACTCTCCCGCGCGTTCAAAAACTCGGCCAGTCGTGTCAGCGAGGGCGCCAACTCGCTCCAGGAGTAGAAGAATCCGGGTAGCGCTTGCAGAGACCAGTTTAGCTGTTGGATCCAAGCTAACGTTGTGAAAACCACCGCACCGGTCAACTCGTGGCCAGTGAGGATGAAAATGGTGAAAACTGTTGTTGGGAGCAAGAAGTTAAACAAAGACCCGACGAAAACATTCAACGCGTTGAGATACCGTTGCTTTTTCAAGTGCTTCAGCTCCTCCGTTCTCGCCGCGTTCAGCCTGTGTGCCCACACCGAGTCCAGCGACTGCAGCTTCACCAAGCGGACACACTTCACGTACTCGTTCAACAATTTCGACCGTACGTCCCGGGCTTCCTGCAGTTTCTTCACGACCGGTGTAGTTAAAGTCGCTAGCTTCCGCATCACGAACTGCCCGGAAAACATGATTACCATGCCGCCGAAAGTCGCGGAAACACCTATCGCCTTGTAGAGAAAAAACAAAACCACGGGGAGGGAGGAAATCGCCCAGGTCTGTTGCGAGAAACTGAAGGCATCAAATGCAAAAGTGTCTGGGTCTGGAAGAGTCATGCTGTTTTTGCATGACACAGAAGGTCTGGCATAGAAGCTAAAGCATCACAGCTTTCGAGAAGCTTCCGCCATGCCGAATCCGCACGACAAACCCTCCATTTTGGTGACAGAATGTGGGCAGCTTTTGGTTTTGCTACCTATGCATGAGAGATTCTTCTGTGTTCTGAAATGCGCATGACAAGTTTGTACTCTTCCAGACCCAGTAGACATATTATTTACAATCCATAGAAAATGATCCAGGACATTTTGCCCAGCTTATCCGCGTCAGTCGACATCAAGTTCGACCACTTCCCGATGTCGAATTTGTTATTTTCTGTGGACGTGGATAAATTATCCGATGCTGGTGGTATAGGCGTACTAGCGCTCCTGTTGGTCGTTTCATCCGAGGACTGTTTCATTCCGCCTACCTGATCATCGCGTGAGCTTCTACTAGAACTCGTAGTTCCACCACCTCCCCCTCTGTCGTACAAGGACTCACGAAAGACCGCATGCACTATCGCCGACCTGGCGTTGTTCATGACGCGCGTGCTCGCGAAGAAGCAGGTTTCCATGTTGGCGACACGCAGGATCATGCACAGCGACAGGGCGAGAACCAGAAGACCCATGGTCTGGACCTGTGAGGAGAGCAGAAGATGAATGTTAAGCAAACGACATCAGGCGAATCTTGAAAGTGTACTCCTGACCACTAGTAAATTCAACTTTATTTTTTCTGTGGAAATAAGCTCGGAGGCAGTTTATTTACCTGATTTCTGAAATAACAGTTTGTCGCAGCTTTGCCTGCAGATCGATGAGACAAAAAGCACCTTTACGAGGACGGGAAATGAACGAACCAATATTTTTCAACATACCGTTTCCTCCCGATACTCCCTCTGCACCTCCTCCGCCTTGTGCAGTAACAGCGACAGCAAAATCGGGTCCAGCAGCATGCACAACAAGAACGTCCACCCGGAAAAAAACGAGTAACAGAAAACCGATCGCTGGATACGGAATAACAGTGTGACCAGCAGTTGAAACGGTTGCCATTTTTGTGTAGTAGTTGATCCATCGGAAGATGTAGTTGCAGTTGGTGCTTCTTCACCTGCCTCAAGTTGTCCGTGTTGTTGTTCCACATGAAGATCTGTGCTTCGGCTTCCTCTACTCCATCGCCGTTCTTTCACTGCCGTCAGCCGCCTGTGCAACTCCAAAACGCCGTCCCTCTTGGGCAGATTCGGGAGGTCCTCGATTTTTTTGAAGTTTAACTTCAACAGGGGGAAAACCCAGTAGAAGGAGAGTTTGGAAAGCACGCCGGCCTTGTCCTCCAGGGCCGCCGCGGCTGGGCTGGCGGGGGCGCGGCGGGGGAGCCCTAGTACTTGCCTGCTCGAGGGTGAACTAGTACCCCGTAGGTTGTCTTCTTGCCGCGTCATGGTAAAGACGGAAGTCGTGGTTCAGAGGTAGCCTTCCTGACCTTCTCGTGCGGACAAGCAGCATCGTCGGACCGACGGTTCGTGTTGACCATGATTTTTGTGTGACATTTTCACAGGGATACACAACGACCTGATGTTGCTTTTCTCTAGCAAGACAGGAAACACGGATGTTGGAAAGCTAGAATTTAAACAACAACTAAGACTACCTCACGACTCGTAAGCACATTTATTAGAGGTCGCGGCGCAGCACCGCCAGCACGACAAAAACAAAATAGCCATTCTGGGATGAAAGAGAAGATTCAAACCTTGCTCTCATTAACTAAGACTTCCACTGCGTACGCTCACTCGCAAGAGGACAATCTTCAAGAACTAACTCTCGAGGTGGACTCTGTGCCAGTAGAAGCAAATATTAAGTGTGCTTACTTAATAGCTCCGTTTGAAGATGTTCTCGTCGGAAGTAGGACGAGGGCAACACCCATCGCCCTTTGATGTACTAAGAAAGTTGTAGCGGACAAAATCAAAAAGACAATGACCAATATGGACGACGATACTGCCGGTGAATAACAAGAAGAACTTCTTCCACCAGAGTCGTTACACGAGCGCAATGAATTGCTGCAATTCCAAAACCAAAACACATCTCGACCCGGGTGTTGCTTTTGGTCTTTTACCACCACCTTCCCGACCACCTTTATCATTCGCACGACGAGTGCTCATTGTCATTTCATATTCCCAAAAATTTTCATAAAAATCTATCAACAAAACAAGTGGGTTGCAGACATTGACAGTTCGCATTGACACTTGATGATGTTCCTATACCTACACGTAATACCTCACATGCGAGAAAAAAACGTCGTGTCGATTACACTCAATGAAAAATCTAACATTATTTGTATCGCTTTTGTTTTCCGTTTGTCAGGTGAGATTTCCTTGCAATCAAAAAGGATGATCGTAATGCTCTTGGTGCCTGGAGATTATAAGCTGTAGTTTTGCGCTAGCTTAATACATGAGCCTATCCAAGAAAAAAAGTGTTACAGTTACACACTTGACGAATGATGCTGGGCGTCGTGTGCCACTGGTACCTGCAGAAAGAACTTGCTCGGCATGACAAAGAAGACTTGCAAACATACTGCAAAGATCTTCGAGATTTCATGAGCAGGAAAGGCACGATCGCAACGAGGGTCGCAAGCAGAAGCACTGCGGGCTTTTGGCAAAGTACCTGTCCAGCACCAACGTCGCAATAGGTAACTGTAACAGCACCTTTTTCTTCGCATAGTGTAGGCAACAAGAACAAATGCTGTGAAGTTTCTTCGAAAATTATCGTACTCATCCTCCGTAGAAGTCACACTTCTTAATGTATTATCTTGGAGGTGATAGAGAACAAATACAAAAAAAGCTCACAATGCAAAACAAAGAAAGCTCATAGTCCTACACTACTTTTTGCACAACGATGAAAAATGATAACGTATCAACGTTACCCAACAAGAATTTATTTATTTGAGGTAGTCTTATTTGCGTGGAGGTATTAAAGAGAAAGCGATTGTTGTTCCTTCATTGTCGCCTCGCTGTCGATCGAGTCTTCTTCAGATGAAGAAGAATCAACGCAGGCCAAGAAGTGAATACTCATATCTGCTACAGAAACGCAAACACAAACTCGCCTGCACCGCTCGGTTCTTAAGTATATCTGCTGTAGCTGTAGCGGCAGGAAATACAATTGCTTTTGTTTGCGCACTTCTTTAGGTGATGTAGATGTACCATATTATGCAGATTTTTTATTTTTTCAAAAGGAAAACTGGTACTAAAAGGAAATACAGCAGCCCGCTCAAGTGGCAATAATCAAGACCGAGAATGGCCTACATGTCATCGTGGGCGGGGCTGCACATAGAAAGATCAGGTTTGGGAAAAACAAACACTGTAGGGGCATAAGATAAACAATGGCGCCGCTACTGACATAATGAACGGAGGGCAAAGCATCACAAGAATTTTAAAATCAAAGATGACGTCTAGCTCTTGACGTCTAGCTCTTCCAACCTCGTCCAAGAGAGGTCGTGGACCCTGCATCTATAGAAGATACTAGTGCCGGCCCTCGTGCTGGACATACGTAGTTCGATGCCTTCAGTCAGAGCTTTACCTCCGCAGCCAGAGCAGCGCCATTGCTGCAGGTGGACTGACGTGTGCGCACTACGAATAAAAAGAATGAGTTGTGCGCGCGAGGGCTTCTTGATGTTCTAGCATGGTAAAGAAGAACAAGAAGACAATGAATATCATATCAAATATTGCGTCAAAGGCCATTGCCTCCAAGAACAAGAAGTAGTAGTAGAGTCAGAATGTAGGCGGGTCATGTGCATATCTAGGACTGCTCTGCGCAAAATGTACTTTATTGCGCAAGAATGAAGTGGGACCTGGCTAGAAGAAGACAGATCCGGCTTCGCCGGCGCCGGACTACTTCATCTTTTCAAGTAAAGCTAAAGATGGTTCCTGTATATAAGTAAGAACAACGTGTCAACGCGTAAAGATAAAAGAATAAACGCACAAGCGTTTTTTCTTTCTTGAATAGTCCCCATAAAGACATGCTGCCTACTGGGACTACAAAGATCAGTTCAACTTAGATAATTGTATGTTGATGCAACTTAATAGTACAGCACACAAATAGGCTGTTGTTCCAGTTGCAGCTGCAAGAGCTGAAAAGCAATTGCGCGGTGGAAAAAATATTTTACGAACATTCAAGAACAAGTCTTCGATAAGACAAAGCAAAGGCAGAACTTTTGTCGTCGAGCTAGAGAAAATACATAGTGAAAAAAAAGAAAAACAGCGGCGGTCTATGGAAAAAAAAACCGCGCAAAAAAAAAAAAAAAAGCGTAGACTTACGAAATAAGCCCTACCTGGTTATCCAGGCGGAAACGCAGAGCACAAAAATGCCTCTGCACTCATTAGAATTTTTATTCTTTGGTAAGACGGAAAACTTAAATAGTTCCTATCCCACCGAAGAAGACGTGCCTCAATTCGAGGGCGCGTCGATACAAATACGGAGGGTTCGCTGCAAACGGAGAAAATTATATGGACTTTACATAAAGCCATCGTGATTGTTGTGATTCGTTTGGTATTTTTGGAGCACCGCGAGGACCTCAACATCGATCCTGAAAAAAACAAATTCCAATTAAAAAAACAAACTTAGCGACGTGAGTTTGATCCTTTTGTAAAAATCTTCTCCCCCGACTCCGTGGAGCTAGAATATTAAGTCGGAGGTTACTATCATCATCATGATCATCATCATTTATCCTGCACTTGGGGGTGACGTGCGGATGGTGTAATCTAGCTGGAAGCACATCAACGGAACCGTCGATGTTGGTAGAGAACTGCACACAACTTCGTGGGAAGATTATTTATGTTCCACCACGAACTCAAGTCGTCGTGGTCAACAACACTTCCCTCGTCTTCTGCCTTTGACTTTCTAAACATCTCGACGCAGTGCTTCCTGCTCATCGCAGACTTCTTCGACAACTTCCACATGATCTTCGCCCGCGCCCTCCGCAACGGGGACGTGCACGCTGAGTGGGTAGAGCCGGAACCGGCTGAAGTCTTGCTTTTTGTCCGGGTCGAAGTCGAAACTTTGTATGTTGCCGCGCGCGATTGGGTCGTCGACTATGATCGTTTGCTCGAACACCAGGAACCGGACCTGTACGGTGCCGGGCTTACTGGGCCGAAGACGTGAAGAGTTTTCACTACTATTAGTTCTGCCTCCGACGTTCGTCTTTGGTTCGACCTCTATTTCCGTCTGTGCTGGCAGAACAACTCTTTGCGGAATCACGTTTTTTGAAGAGTCACGAGCCGCGGAGATGGAACCACGTCGTGTGCTTAGCGAAGCGGAAGATGCTGCTGCATCAACATTTGTCGTTCCAGCCTGCTCAACAACCTTGTGGTCCAACAACACCGCGAGGCGCTTTGCCGCCGGGGTGCCGAGGAAGGATTTGACATTTTCGTCCGGAGGGTCCGAAATTCTCGAAAAGTGCGCTTCCGCTTCATCGGCTGGAACGGTGCAGCGTTTTTTCCTTACAGCGGTAGTAGAGCTTGAGCTGCGGCGTTTGATCAGAATCATACCGCTCGTTCCCGTGGGTCCTCGTGGTGGGGGCTGTACTGGCAGCTGCTGTGTCGGCGCAGAACAAGCAGTTGATGCTTGCAGCGGCCCTAGTACAACTCCTGCTGCCGATGGTGCCAAAGTAGACGGCGGCGCCGCGCACTTCTGTAGCAAAGCTCGAAGAGGGCTCAGGTCGTCTTGGGCTTTGTTCTCTCGACTTGTTCCCCGGCGGACCAGGTGTGTCTGGCTAGCTGGTGCGGCGCCACCTCCTCCGCCCCGGGCTGCACCAGCTTGTCCAGCAGTGGCCTCAGGTCCAGCTGGCTGTTGAAGTTGTTTTTGCTGCAGTTGTCCTGCTTGTTCCGCCTCCGCTGCGCTGAGCACCGATTCAAACGACTCCGCTTTTGGGTCTACAGCATCGTCGTCTTCACAATTATCCGCCTCTACTTCCGCTCGTGTGGACAACTTCTGCACGTGTTCCTTTCCAACCGTCTGCTGCTGGTCCTGCTCCTGCAGTGGCAAATAACTTTGTACCGTGGGCAGATCCGTACTCGAGCTTGCGCCCACATAGTTTACAGGATTTCCACCCGGGCCTGCAGTAGAAGTTTGTAGTTTTTTCTCGTCCTCATCCCCACCACCGCACGACGGCCCGCCGCGGGGGCCCAGTTTCTTCGGCAGGGAGAGCACACTCCCGATAGACGTGCTGAAGCCGCCACTTGCGTTCTTCAGCAGTTGCGAGGTCAGTGCGCCGATGTTGGAAGCTCCTTTGCAGCTGCCCTCATGCACCTGTTGCAATTGGCTAAACGAACTGACGCAGGGGTGGCTGGTGGAGGAAAACAGACTGGAACTCACCGTGCGAAATTCCTGTGGTGCTCCTGCATCGCAAGGTATGCAAGAAAAAAAAGCGCTACAGGTCTTACACGGACACTTGTGGTATTAACTTCAGCAAAAGATGCAGGTTGCTTGGAACGACGACGATGCATCGATCTCAACCGCAAGGGAAATAAATGCCCATCACGCATGAAGAAACGAGGGTCGCATCCCATAATTGCGGGCATGGCAAAAGTTGTGTGTCTTCTTGTCTACTTGCTCGACGTTGTATGCATGAAAGACTTCTGTGATGTGTTGTAGTCACTGTAGCATTTTTTTCTCTGCATACTCGAAGAAGCGGCACCCGTGTGGTCAGACGGAAACATGTTTAGCGACAGACCCGTAGACACTGCGCTGATCGGATTCTTGCCCGCAGATGAATTCGCAAACATCAAACCTGTAGCCTGTTGCGCGGAAGTCTCCACCTGGGCCTGGCCAAGAAGAAAATCACCATCTCTCATATGATCCCACCTTATTTGAGAGCAAGCAACAAAACTGCCACGGCTGTCCTGTTCCTCTTCGTCCTGTTGGCCCTTGTCTACTTCCTGAGAATAAATGCTGAGTCCCTCTCTACTCGTCCCGACAGGTGGAGCTTGAGCAGCTCCTGTCGCGTCGGCGCTGCTGCTAGTCGATGCGCATGCCGTTTTGTTTTTCTTCCTCGCCAGCATGCTCAAAAAAGTGTTTGCAAGTTGAACAGGGTGATGCGCTTGAGCTTGTCCTCCCCGTTGTGCCTGCAACAGTGCAGAGGTCGTTGTTCCGGCAGTGCCTGGAGGTGAAGAGCAGTGTGCTGAAGATGATATTAACGAAGTCGCTTGTTGATCCGAAGCTGTTGCTCCGGCACTGGTGCCCCGCACAAGCAGATCATGGCTGTGCGAAGAACATGTTGGTCCTCCTGAACAAGCCGTCGAGCTGCGCACCTGACTCTCGCCAACGAAACTGCAGCTTGCCGCGGAACAATCGCCGGCGGAGCCAGGACGGGAAGCAGCGGAAGGTGGCGTGACGAAGTTCTGAGCGTCGCCTGCTTCTTGTCGAAGATCTTGACGATCATGATCACCAACTTCTGGCTCCGCTACTAATTTCGGTGCTGGAATTATCTTTTCCTGCGGAACCAGGAGTAGTCTTTCGGTTGTCACGGTTTCCTTCGTGTAAACAGGAAGCGTGGCGGCCGTCATCCCAGTGTACTCCGGTTGGAACCGGCGGGAGGACAAAGACGAAAAGTTTTTGTCTACGGCTTTTGGTTTTGCTGCTGGTGGTGTAGTTCTTGTTCCCTCAGCATCAGCTAATATTACCCCACCTCCTGCTGCGTTGACTGGTGCAGCCCCGGAGCAGCGGTCTGTGTTCTTGTTCTTCGTCGTCCTCGGCACCAACATTCCGAGGCGAACGATCGGGGTCCACGCGCGTTTGTTCGGACTGAAGGTTGTCTTCGTTTGGCGCGCCACTTGGAGAAGGAAATCTGGTGCTCCTACAGAAGTAGTGCGCTTATCTTGTTGCCCCCTGTCTGCTTCATCATAGTTTTCATCTGCCTCCTCGTCATCTTCTATGACTTGCTGATGCAGCTGCTCGCTACTCCACATTTTATTTCCCCGAAATAAACCTCCACCCGCGCCGCCAGCAGGATAATTATCCCCCCCTCCGCTTGGGCTACGGTTCCCGGCTCCCCGCCCATCCCCGGCGGTGGTGTATGAAAGCCTCAGGTTGGAAATCCTCAAAGTGAAAATAATTTGTAATGCAAAAAAACGACTCCAGTTGGAGCACCATTTATAGTCGGCGCATGACAAATTTCCCGGGCACTCAAAACGTGTCCGTCATGCTAGTTAGGCAAAGGGGTGCCCTCCTCTCATGCTAATCAGGAGCCCAATTCTGAACCCGTAGAAGCACAATAGTCGGCCTCCATTGCGTTCTCTGCAATACAGTCTTTTTGGTGTCGCATTTCATGCATCACAAATTATTTCCACTTTGAGGATTTCCATTCTGAGGGTGTCATATGGTGCTACTGCCGGTTAGCTGCTGTGTCCACTGGAAGGCTGCTGGTGAACCTTCACCATTATGCATAGCAAAAGCATCGTAACTAGTAGTAATTGCATTACAAACTGCCTCAGCGTGACAAATGGAATTTGTCATGCTGTTTTACCTTAGGATGGAGATTTGTAATGGATGACTGCAATTTAGTAATACGAGTACGATACTTTTGCACAGGATAACCATCATCAGGCCATAAATCGTCCATACGTGCTTCGCTGTGGTCCCGGGATGAGCGGCGCGACGTTTTCGTGCTTTTGTAAGAAATGAAGTTTTTCCGCCGCGACTCAAAGAGAGGGTCAAGATCGACGTCCTCAGACTGTGACTGCTGCTGGTGTGCCTGTGCTTGAGCTTGTAGTTCCTGCTGTTCCTGTTGCTGTTGGTTAATAATCACCCTCGCTTTTTCTCTTTCCTGTTCGCCGGCGGCGCCATCTTCAAAGTTGGTTGCGGCAGTAGTTTTATTCCCTAGTGCCACTTTTGCCACGTGGGCGAGACGTTGTCCCTCAGTCGCTTGAAGATGAGCCTGTGCTTGTTCAGCAACATCTCGTGTGGGCTCTCCAGCACTTGATGTTCCTTCCGCGCGTGCAACCACCAGCCCCAACTGCTGCAGCTCTGCAGCGAGTTCACTGATCTCTTCTTCCGGCAACTTTTCCACGAACGCTTTTGTTTCATCTACTTCCGTGTCCACGTAGAAAAAATCTTTTTGTTGAGAGAGAAGTCGTCCTTGCGGCAGAAACGATATTGACCGCAGGGGCGCGGCGACGTCAGAGGGAGAACTACGAACTTGCGCAGGAGCAGCAGCCGTGGTGTTCTCGATGTTGTTCTGTTTTTGCGCGTCGTCGTACGGGTCCTGATCTTCATCTTCTTCTCCTTCTTCCTCCACCGAGGCCGGAGACGTTGCCGACTTCGGTGACGTCGCATTGTCTACTGCGCCCGATCTGCGAGAGAGAGCGCGCGTTGCGCTGTATGTAGCTGTTCCAGTTGTACCCCGATGGAGCACTGGTCGTGTCTCCATCTTCTGATCCGGTGTTGTGCCTTCACTACTTGTTCCGATAGAAAGTACACACGGAGCCATTGCACGTTGATGCTCATCATGGGGTTGGGGCCCTTCAGCGTCGTAATTGTTGGGGACTGGAACCGATCCTCCAGCTGAGCCGCACGAAGCCGCCAAACCGAGGATGTCTCTACTCGGGCAAGTCGTGTCGATCATGCTGGGAAGAGGAGGATCAGGCGTGGCTTCATCAGAAGTAGCGCCACCAGCGCTGCAGCCTTTTGATATCATCTTCGCTCCTTGTTGTTCTCCTCGCAGGAACTTGCGCACCTCTTGGGAGAGGAGGGAGGTCTTCGTGTTGATCTTTTTCTGTATTGTTCCACCACTACTACTAGGATCATCTTCTCCTTGTCCACCACCACCAGCAGCCCCCGTGGCAATCGACTCGTCTGTCACGATCCGGGAGGCAGTGTGGGATGTAGAGAACTGGCCTCGCTCATCTCCTGCTGGCAAATACACTTGTGGTAGACTTGAAAAAAAGGACTCCACACGACTTCCTCCTCCAATATCTTGCTGTGCAGTCGACACGCGGCTAGATGAAACTGCAAACGGGTTTCTCGTCGAGGAGAGACTTTGGCGATTTGCTTCGATAGTGCTGCGCAGATCCTCCATCTCTATCTCTACAGAGTTGATTTGCGAGGCTTGTTCCATCTGCGCGATACTTGTGCCACTACTCGACGTCGCGCTGTCCTTGTCTAGTACAACTTCGATTTGATTCAAGGTACTACTTAAGTGCTCGTCGTCCAACTTCATTTTGGTCAGCAAATCTTCCCCCTCTTCCACACTGTCAAACCCCAAGCCAAAGTAGTTTCCTGCGCGGATCCACTTCTCCAATGCTTCTCTTTCCACTAGGCCCTCCCCGGTCTTCGCGTCGATCTTGTTCGTTTTCAGCTTTTATGGATTGCAAATATGTCTGGGTCTGGAAGATTGCGAGATTTGTCACGCAGCTTTTCCATGACCCGTGAGGTCTGGAATGCAGGACCTGGGATGACAGATTCTGCGCGATCTCTCTCATGCCTATCCTGCATGAGAAGCTCCCCTACGACTTGGTCAAAACTGCGCGACTTTTGGTAGTCATGCAACAGAGATTTTTGCATGCTTCAGATTTAGCATGACAAGTTGCACTCTTCCAGACCCAGACATTTTTACATTTCATAGCTTTTTCACCTGCTTGAACACCCAGCCTTCCACACTTTTTTGGAACTGCCGTCTGTGTCGCTCCGCGGCTTCGACTCTCGCGTGCAACTTGATTTCCAGATTCTCCTGGTCGCCGGTGGAATCTTCGGAATCGTAGAGAAAGAAATCGCTGGGAGAAACAGAGGACTCGGAGGCGAACGAGGAGCTCTTGCTCTGAGTATCTTGAGTGGAGTTTTTCTGCTTGTAGTCCTGTGTAGAAGTTGTTCTTGTGCTTGTCGTTTCCCTGATTCGCGCAGCCCCCGCTTCGCTTTCGGACGACACATATCGGACCACGGAAAGAAGAATGGTTTGAGTTTCCCTGCTGCTGCTCGCGGAAATAGAAGTTGTTCTGCCTGTCTGCTTCGCCCTAGAAGTACTTTGCTGTTCTGCTCTTTCTCTTTCAGCAGTACTAGTAGACTCTTTCATCTGCGTTGTTGTACGAGAAGCGAGACCTCCCCGATGTTGTTCCGCTAGCCGTTCCACACTGCGTCCACCTTCCGCCGGCTCCTCGTGGAGCTTCGAAGCGTAAAGTTCCTGCCTCGTCGTTTTTCTCGTCGTTTTCGTTCGCTTTATTATCTCTTCGCGCTTCGATATTTTCGACAGGGGTTGTTCCTGTTTCCGAGCAGAAGACTTAGGTTTCTTTGATGTCGCAGGTGGAACTACATCAACGACGGGCGGAAGTGGTCGTGCTGGTGTAGAGGAGGAAGCGCCGGCTCCCCGTCCAGTTGTACAACTAGCGCCCTGTGGTCGCGGAAAAAGTTGTTCTTGTGCGACGACCAGGGCGTCGTTGCCTCCTTGTCTTGCTGCAGACGATGAAACCTGCAAGCCTTGCAGCTGCTCTATCAGGAGCTTCTGCTCATCTTCGACCTCCTCCTGACCCAGGATCTTTTGATCATCTTCCCCAGCTTTGGTGTTGTGCGCTCCTGCGAGGTCCGGCATGATGTTAGCGCTTGTCATTGATGATGTGTTAGCGGCCTGCTGAGCGTCGTGGTCTTCTCCTTCGAATTGCTGGAGGGAATGTCGCTCCTCCTCTTCAGTCCCCTCTGGCGACGCGTTCTGCCGCAAGGGGGTCAGCTGCCGCTCAATTGCATCAACAACATCAACAGCTGCGGAAGATCCGTAAGAACAATACTCGATAGAAGTTGGAGTTGCTGCAACATCTGGAATTATCTGTGCCTGCGCTGCTAGGGTGGCCGCGTTGGAGGAGAAAGTCGCGGACGGTTGCACTATGGCTGATGGATGAAGAAATGTTGATACATTTGCAGTAGGGCAAGCCACAGGAACTGTAATGTTGTTCTTGCCAGGACGCTGTAGTTGGGACGACGTCGCCTCAAGACCTCCATGCGGCTGTTTCGCTGCTGTCGCAGTCACGTTACCACGTCTGCTCTCGTCAGGAAATAAAATCGCAGCTCCTGTCGGAGCAGGCTGCTCTTTCCCCGCGGCACTTTCTTGTTGAGCAGGGCGAACGTTGATTTGCCTCGCTTCAGTCGCTTTTACAATGTCAGAGGAATTATCGCCACCGCCCGAGATTTTCAGGGCCATCAGCATTCCCTCGTCTATTTCCTCATCACCTTCTGCTGCTCTACTGGGGTCTCCTCCTCCTTGCTGCTCTGCTGCCGCGGGGTCTTGCTCTGCTCTTCGTATCCCGAGAAAAAAGTTTTACAGTTAGTTACTTACACAATCGTATGTAGATGTACTCAACTTCAGCAACTGTTAATATTCCCTGCATGACAGAGAAAAGTTGCAATGGAGCTAAAGCAAAACTAAGCTAGAGCTACTCCTAGTCCTCCCGAAAAATTAATCTGGCATGACACTTCTCAGTCTTGCGTGGCCCGCAACACGACAGTGTGTAAAGAACTGTGACACTTTTTTCTTTTCCTAGCTCCTTGCAGCGAGAATTCATTGACCACCCTGGACTGCTTCCTGCTCCACTTTCTCGAGGTAGATGAGACAAGAAAAGAACGCTGTACTCCCCCAGAAGGACTGGTTGTGCCCCCAGCACCGTGGCTCCCAGGACTGCCTGTCTGCTGCGGTGGTGGGCTTCTGGAAGAAGAAGCACCACCATGTTGGCCACTAGTTGTACCTCCCCCAGGAGGACAGCACCCCGGCGTGACGAGGGAAAATAAGTTTTCGGAATTCTTGTTCTTCGAGTTACTCCGACTGACGGAGGAGAAAGCGCTTTTAAACGACACCACCAAATCGCTAACTCGGAGCTTGCTGCTGGTTTGAGAGTGCGAGGAGCCGGTGAGGTCGAAGGACGGCGTGGTTTTATTTACCACGCCGGGACGAGAAACCTCCGGAAAGATTTGCATCCTTTTCGGAAAGTACTCGAGAACATCTTCACCGTCAGCAGGTGGCGACGGCGCACAAAATGAGGACGACGCAGCAGGAGCTGCAACGTCTCCTGCCGCCGGCGCAGCACTACTACTAGCAACGACTGGCGGTGGTGCATTGTCGATGGCAGGACTAAAGTTTTCACCATCTTTTCCTTCGGGGATGAATGCAAGAACCCCAGAAGAAACATCTTCTTGGCCGAAAGCAGGAGCTGCTGCACCTGCAGCAGCAACATCTTCTTGTCCACTAGCCGCCGGCACAGCATCTTTGTCTTTAATATTGTCTTTGTCTTCCTCTTCGGCGAATACTAATAAAGCAGGAGCTGCACGACCTCCAGTAGCAACATCTTCTTGATGTGGTCCACCTGTTGTATCCGCCGGCGCAGCCAAAACTTCGGCGTAAGCCTCCCAACTTGGAGTGCCGCCGAGTTCGGGACAGGGTGTCCAGCGGGCACAAATCTTGCGGTTATGAGAGAGCACAACTTCCCTGCTTCCTCAGTTGAATGGCATTCATAGCAACACAAGCTCTGACCAATATGCAGCTTTCGCATGACAAATTGACGACCGCTTCCTAGTGCTCTTTCGGCTTCATCCCGAATTTGTCATGCAAGCAGGGCAAACAGGCAACGGGCGGACTTGGTGTTTCGCATGACAAATCAGGGGCAGCACCAGGGGGGGGGTCGTGCACACACTCTCATAGCGGTTGGCCCTGGTGGATGACACTGGACTGCGTGGAGATCTTTGGCCGCTCCCATTGCTCCTGCGGTCGCCATTGGCGCTCCCCCAGCGCCCGCTGTTTCTCTCGCTATCATCTTCTTCACCTGTTCCACTTCCGCTGGACGAGCCCGAGCTGTCGTCGGAAGAATCACTGCCGTGCTGTTTCCCATAGACGTAGTGTCGACGCTGAGGCAGAGCTGCTCGCCGGGACGTTGGATTTGTTCGCTGCTTCTTCTTTGCGGAGGGATTTTTGGGACGACGATCAGCACTACCACTAGCAGGATTATGATCAGCACTACCACTAGCAGGATGTTGATCAGCACTACCACTTCTAGCAGGTAATAAAACCCCACTGAATTGAGGAACTCCGACGTCATGTTGACCAGCATCGGAGTATGGGTGATCTTGTGCGGAAGCAGATATGAACTGCAAAAGTATCGCACTCGTATAAATGCATTACAAATTTCCTCAGCATGAGCATGCGGATTTACCTTAGAAAGATGACTTGTAATGCATGATTTTGATTGCAATACGAGTACCATACTTTTGCACAGGATAGCGGAACAAGGGGAAGTCCAACTACTGGCAGGAGTCACGTGGGGCCCTCTGGGGTTCTCCTGGAGTACTTCGGAATCAGACTCATCTTCATCTACTTCTAAATCCATTGTGTGTTGAGCATCTACTTCTGGGACAATGGCATGATCTCCGGCAGCGGCGGTCTCGTTCCTGTTCATCTTCTCAGTGTCTGATTTTTTCCGTGAAGAATTATCTGCCTGATGCTGATCTTGGTCGTCGACGACGTCTTCGCCATAATAAAACGAGTTGCTGCGTTCACTTGAGGATCCCTCCTGCTCTGACTGCTGGAGCTGACCCACACGTTGTAGACCACGAGGACCAGTACTCGTTTCCTCTTGATGGTGGTCCTCGTTCTGACGACGCCGACGCACATCATCTATGACATGCAGCCCGGCTTCCCGTTCTTGCTCGGCCGATGGCACGTACGGTGGTTGAAGATTCGAATAGGTAATGTTTTCTCCGGCAAGACGCGGGACCGTAGAGTAAGCCGGCAGCTCGTCTGCTCGGACTTCTTGTTGTTCAGCGCCGGCTTTATAATTCCTAGGCGAAGAATCGACAAAGCGCTGCGGTGGCCGCGCAACAACTCCTGCCACATAATTGCCCCGGGAAGACGAAGCTGCAGCTGGAGCTGCTGCGCCAACGCCACTACTTCTTTTCGGCGACCCCGTTTTCTCGGTCTCGGTTCGCACACCTTCCGAATGCGGCATGCTTGCCAGTAGCGCACCCAACGAAGCGCCACTGGAGTAGTTGCCGTGACAAGCGACCCTGTTCGGGTCTGCAGGAGCAGCTACTGATGTTGGTACAACTGCTATCAGAATGAAAAATGCCCCCACCCCCGAACTTGAAAGCATTTGTATTGCAAACCTTTCCAAATGAAACATTCGCCCTCTTGCACCTATCAGCATCACAGGTTTCCGATCGTGAATAGCGAAAATTTGTATTGCAAAAGACCCCAGCAAGAGCGGCGCTTGTCATGCAAGCGATGCGATACACGCCTAGACTCTGCATCAGAAAGATTCATACTCCTTTCATGCATGACAAAAAGGTTTCATTTGGAAACTTCGCATCACAAATTTTTGCAATTTGAGGGGTGGGGGGCACTTTTCACTGTAATAACTGCTTCCAGCAGGCCAGCGGTGTAGTTCTCGTCCGCTCTCCTCACTGTTTGTGTTGCGTTGACGCGGACGATGTTTATCGCATGAGTATCTTGTTCATGCGGCGGTTGCATAAATGCGTCGTGGTGCTCCTGCCGCTGATGCTCTTGCTCCATTTCTGCCGTCACTGGAACTGCCGAGGACGGACCGGGTGGAGAGCCAGGGGCTCCTGTAGGGCCGCCTGGTGGCTGATGTCCAGCCAGAGAAGAACCTCCACGAGCATGACGCTCAGCCACGTCTTCGCTTCTCCCAGCACGAAGATGTTGACGTGCTGACACGGGTGGAGGTGCCGGACTTCTACGTCCAGGTCGTGTTTCCTCAACTCCACTCGTGTCGATCTTCTCGTTCTCTGTGGTAGTGGAAATCAGAGTTGTCTCCTCCTCTACCGTTGTTTCCTCTTTCACTAGCGTCATGCGCCAGATGCGCAGTTGCAAATCGTAGGACGCGTAGTAGCCCGCGGCACTGTGGGGTTTATTTTGTTCTCATTGATTCAACCGATAATAATGGTGCAGCACATTTTTGATAGTAGCATTTTCCAAACTCGTTTACAGATCAAAGTCAAACTTCTAGCACGAGAAACAGCTCTTGAGGCTTTTATGCCTTAGGAACGACGACCACATAAAGAAATCTCGGGCGAAAACAAAGGAACAAGAACAAACTGTAAATGCAGCTCTACTAAGTTTCATACCCCAACCTTCTGGCCAGCAGCGAATCGGCCACGGCCCTCCTGGGCTGCAGGCCATGGTAACTCGAGTCCCAGCCGTGTCCCGTCGCGCGGACGATGACGTAATCGATCGGAGGCTCGAGCTCCTCGTCTCCTTCTTGATCGGGCTGTTTTTCCTTCGATTTCTTCTTGTCATTTCCACTTTTTCCAGACGAAGATGCCTCTGGTGCTGCTGGTGTCCTACTCGAAGAACTACTTGCAGCTGCTCCAGCACGAACCGGGGGGCGTCTCACACCCATCGTGGAGGTCTCGTTTTTTCCAAAATTTCCAGTACGAGCAGCACCATAATCGGTGTCCGTTTTTCTCAGGTGTTCCACCGTCCGACGCCTGTCCTCCGTGCCCTGCGCCGGTACTAGTTCGGCACCGGGAACCCCGGTGCCCTGCGTGCCAACGGTAATGAATTTTGGAAACCTGCGGCGGATGTCGAGCTGCTGCCGTAAGTTGAGCAAATTTCTTCTCCGCTCGTTGTACTCTTTCCGAAAGGTGTATGGAATGCAAATATGTCTGGATGTCTGGAAACTTGTGACGCAGGTCTGGCGGTGGTGGCGGCGGGCGCACTGCAATTTATTA